AAACAGGTCACCTTAATCAGGTGGTCAGCGGTCAGACCTCACATCACACCTCACACCTCGCGTCCCCTCTTACGATGCGCTGAGGCAGCGTGACTGCCTTTGGTCGCTCTTTCCAAAGCCTTGGCCTTAATGTAAGACTTCCGACATCAAACTCAGCTTGGGAGGTACTGTACTGTAAAATACAGGATTAGTTCTGCTCAGAATGATGGAAAACAAGAAAAAGACTGAAGAATTATAGCAAATTGGAGCAGACCCAGAGACATGACTCTATGGCAATGTGGAATCCCAAAAAGAGATAAAATCTGATGAAATTGTAGTCAGCCTTGTGGCTTATTAATAGTATTAAATTATGTTACTTTCTTAGCTTAATCACTGGGCTGTAGTTACATAGAAAGTTAACATTATCAGAGGCTAGGTGAAGGAGGGAACTCTCCTCACTTAATTTCTAAGAAAAGTATTTCCAAATAGAAAGTGACTCTAACATTGCGTGGCACAAGTTTTAGCAAAGAAGTAGCGAGCAGCGTATGTACAGATAGCCGTGTGTGTGGTGTTAACCTGCAGATGAGAGAAGTGGGCCAGAGAGACGTTTCCTTTCCATCGTGGCCAGCCAGGTCTTAGGCTGGCACACAGAGAGGGGTCCAGGATCATTTCCATAATGCTTAGCGACAGTCAGGTGCTGGTGTGAGGTCTGTTTTTATTCTGTGTTCCAAGGCTGTCTTCTGTGTTTCCACAGTGATAACACATGTGGCATGTAAATACAGTATTTAATGAGGGAATGAATGAATGAATTTGGTCAGAATGATACAATGCAAATATAGGCTATGTTCCATATCTGTGGATTCTGCATACTGGGATTCAACCAACCATGGGTGGAAAATACTTAGCAGAACTCTTACATTTGCTGATGTAATTAGGCCTCATGTGTATTTGTGTCTATACTGACGCTGTGCACACTCTTTTCTTGCCAGTGTACCCTTTTACATCGTGTGAGCACATGATAGCTTTTACACTGCAGTAAGTACTGTGTAAGCCTAGAGATGCTGTACAGTGTACAGAAGGATGTGTGTATGCTGTGTGCAGGTGCTGCATACACGCCAGGAGCCTCTGGACTTGGGAGCCAGTGTCTCGCACACTATCCAGGGGCACTGGTAGAGTCCATCCCTTTTTAATTCGTGGTGATAAGAAATCAATTCTGAATTTTCACCTTTCATCCTCCTTCCTCACCCCTATTTAACTATATACTTTAGTCAGAAAATTGCAGACTGAATAAAGAAAATTATCCAGATTCCTATGAAGAAATAAAAAGGCGTTTGTTTTTAAGTACCTTTCTGCTGCCAGTTTTTAAACCTGTCAATTATTAACTTGCTCAAAAATAGCTACTTACCACTGTGCCAGGGAAGGACTTGAAGGTGTTGCTTAACAGGGAGGGCTTTGTAGTAGACTTGCTTTCTATCCCAGGTCTGCAGCACAGTGACTAACTATACAGTCAGTGGCAAGTCATCACCTTGCTCTGCAGTAAGACATCCTCATAAAATCCTTAAGGAATCTTGCTGGGCATGGAGATGCACACCTGTAATCCCGGCCACTTGGAGGCTAAGGCAGGAGGAGCACAGGTTCAAGGCCCACCTGGGCAACTTAACGAGTCCCTGTGGCTGCTCAGAGTGGAGCACGTGGGTTCAGTCTCCAGCACTGAGAAAACAAGGAAGAGACAAAGAGAAGGAAACGCGACGATCTGCACCGTGTGCAGGCAGCTCTTAGCAAAGCCGTTTAGAGGAGATAGGACTTGAAGTGAGCACGGAAGGCGGGGGCAGAGCACAGGCGGAGCCCGGGTCCAGGGAGGAGCCAGGGAGAGAGGGAGAGAAAGAACCATGCAGCGGGCCTTGACGGAACAGCGCCTGCTGCAGACCCGACTGTTGACTGTCAATCTTTCCCTGTTCTCAAGAAATATAGTCAGATAGGGAAGGTAGATAAATACAGTAACAGTGACAATAACTGTGGTAGCAGCAGCTTACCCTGTTTGCTGAGCACCTAACATGCTTCAATAGCACTGTACATTTTTCTGTTTATGTCAATACTTAGAACTTTATAAACTGCATTTCCTTTGTGAATGAGGAAACCAAGACTCTGAGAAATTAAGTAATTTGCCCACGATTATGTATCTAAGTATCAAACCCAGGACTTGATCCTGGATCGCCTGACTTCAAAGACTTCCTTACCCTTTCATCAGGCGATGACTAGGTGTTTGAAGCTCTCTGACAAGATCATAGAAGACGCGCGCATCCGTGGCACTGCAGTAGCTGGAGAGCCTCAATGGTTTCGGGGTTTCCTGACTGTCCCCACACACTGAAGTTCCTCTGTTCCCCGGTTACATACAGAAGAGAGAAGTACGAGGCTGCTCAGCACCACCCTTGTGAGTGAGCAGGAAGCTTTTTTGTTCTCTCTTTATAAAACCAAGGTTGGAAGGACTCCACAGCCACAGCCAGGCCTGCCTTGCCGTGGAGTCTCCAGGAGAGCCCACCCCCACCGGGCTGCCTTGGGGACAGTCCCGTACCCGGCCACTCTTCCGAATTCATTTCGCCAGGGTGTGGGGGGTTAAGAATGAGGCACTTCTGTAAGGTTGTTTGACACATAGAAACTGTACCGCAACGTTTGGCAGGTGTCTTCCATGTACCAGCAAATACGTTGCCATACATACTCAGCTTCTGCGTACTGAGACTCAGCCTGTGGTTATGGTTTCCAGTGTAGCTGTTACTGTACCTATTCCAGGATCTCCAAACACCCAGCAGTTTCTTGTGCTTTTCCTAGTATGTAAGGTTAACCTTTCCTTCTTTAAACCAGATCAGGCATGTACTGGTTGATTCACTTACGAGCATGATTTCTTAGAAAACATAAAGCCGAGCCCCTGTGTGAACATGTGGTTCATAAGGCGAGACGCGTGGCTGTTCACAGAGCTTGGAGGGAGAAGCTGGGGTCTCTCTGACACACTTTGGAAACATGCAGGACAGGAGTGAGGTTACGTGGCGGGGCAGCCACACACCTTTCCAGGGTGGCCTCTCCCGCGTACGCCACAGTGTTGTTCCCCTGGGGTTACTGTGGCTAAGGCCCCTTCCCCAGGTGCCCCCTCTTTTAGCTCAGAAACCTTAGGCTCCCACTACATGTTTTCCAGCCCTCCTGCGTGTTTTCTCAGGACTGTTACCTCTGCAGGTGGCTGTTGGTGATGATATTTCACAGAGAAGCACTGACATTTCCCATCTGCGCTCCAGGCATTTTGCATTCTTAATGTCATTTAATCCCCGTAGCATCCTGCCTGGGTAGGTGAGTTATGTCCGTCTATAGGGATATATGGACGCTAGCTTTCCTAGGAGACTTGAAGCTGGAAACTGGCAGGACCAGAAGCCAGCGCCAGTTCTCCCTCACGTCGTGGAAGCTGCTCAGCACCAGTGTCAGCAAGCAGAGGGGCGTCTGGCTGCGTGTGCACGGTCTCAGCAGTGAGTGGCTGTGCGTTTACATGACCACCCTGCAGCCTCGCAGCCACCTCTGAGTACCGCTGCCCCTTTACAGACAGACACTGAGGCTCACCAAGGCTGGACCAGGGCCCGAACGCCAGTCAGGCCGGCCTGGAGACCAACTCTGGTCCCCGTTGGGTCACCCCTGAAAGCCCCCAGATGCACAGGTCCACACCAGAGGGTGGAGAGCCAGTCCTGCCAGACATTGCCAAGGCGATATTTAACAGCCTAAGACAGTGGGAGAATAACTTACAAACTGATGGGAATTCATTTCTTCAGTAAAAATCAGAGAATGTGTGAAGGCTTAGCAGAAGAGTAAACTTGGATTTATACGAAACTTGAATTTTTGTGCATATTGAAGGCGTTTGAGTATACTGTTTTCAGAGTTGCTTCTCTTTAATTTTTAAATTTAAAGAAAACAAAACAGAACAAAGCAGATCAGAACAAAACAATACAGTCAACATCGGATTTCAAAACAAGACAACAAGAAATCAATTGTGGTTACCATAATGTCTCTTGTTTTCTTTGAAACGTCTCAGAGTTCTAATATATATCCAAACTGTGATGCAGCATCACTAAGGTTATAAGGCTGTTAACTATCTTGAAACATACTGTCACTGTGTTCCATAAGCGAGTGAATGATGGCTGTGGGGACAGGTGACCTTTATATGACAGTGAGCTGTTGGGAAAGCCTCTGCCTAGCATAGCATGGGGCATCGCTTAGAGAATTATTACACAGTAAGCTCTGTGTTCATTTGCCTCAAAGACTGTATCAGCCAGGCTTGGCGGTGCAAACCTGGAATGCCAGCACCTTGAGAGGCTGAGGCAGGAGGATCACAGACTGGACCCCAGCCTGGCTTATCAGCTTACCTTGACTGTGTTTTAAAAGAAAGAATTCAATGCAAAGACCGTAGGTTCAATCCTCAGTACTGCAAAAAAATGTTTTTAATTAATTTTAATGTTGTATATCTTGCTATGTTGGTGTAACGGCTCTAAACAGCCACTCAGTGATTTCTGTGTTACTCGTTTGTTTCTTTATAAACCATCAAATAAATGAATTCTGTGATTATCAAATTTCCAGTGCTTGTCTACACCAATAGATAGTCTATTCACCTTAAAAATACATGGTTGAGGGACTGGGGATTTAGCTCAGTGGCATAGCGCCTGCCTTGCAAGCAGGCAGTCGTGAGTTCGATCCCTGGTACCGATAAAAACGAAAAAGACAAAAAAAAAAAAAAACATGGTTAAAAATCTTTTTACAGTCTCTCATGTACTCTCTTTGAAAAGAAACCTCAGTGCGTGTATCCCATTCAGCAATATTTGTTGAATATTGAACTGTTTGATGGCCGTCATACGAATCGCTAGGGAAACATCACAAAATAGACATCACCCCAGTCCTCACTGTAACGTGGCACAGTATAAAATTCATTACAGAGAAATACAGTGTAGTGTGAGAGCACAGATGAAAAGTAACATTTATTTCCATCCCAACAGATTTCGGTTTTGGAAACTTCTTTAAAAGTGGTGAACTGCTGGCAACATGGTGTGGCAGCCCCCCGTACGCAGCCCCAGAAGTCTTTGAAGGGCAGCAGTATGAAGGACCACAGCTGGACATTTGGGTACTGCTTTGCTTTGCTGTGTGAAGTGCATCTCCATGATAGTAGTGGGCACTCTGCCCCGTCCTAGGAGCTCCTGGAACGCAGCACATAAACAGCTTTCTGTGTTCTCCGTGTCTGTCAGAGCATACTGAAGTGAATTCCCATGAAAGAATTTCTAGGGACAGGAGTCATTAGCCTAATATTAGCAGTAATGTAAAATTAAACAACAAGAAAAATGATCAGATTCAGATCATTTGGTATTTATTTACTTGCTGTAGAAGTCAGGCTTTCAGTGTTTTCTTTTCCAAATTCTGAGGAAATAAGAAATCTAGACTGGGGTTTTCCCGTCCCTGTGATTTTAAGAGCGCTGGGGGATGTTCAGGAAAACAGAAAGCACGTGAATGTCCGGGACGGTGACTGCACTCTTCTCTCCCTAGAGCATGGGAGTTGTCCTGTACGTCCTCGTCTGCGGCGCATTGCCTTTCGATGGACCGACCCTTCCAATGTTGAGGCAGAGGGTTTTGGAGGGAAGATTTCGGATCCCATATTTCATGTCAGAAGGTAACAAGCTGTCATCTTGCTAATTGTACTTTACAGAGTTTGTGCACAAAAAGATGTGTCTAGGCAAGCAAAAGCTCTCCCTTTCCGGAGAGTTTGGGTACCAGACAAAATGACTGAGTCATTTTCAGAGCCTTAAAAATAAGCCCCTGCCATGTGGGTGAGAGAAACCCCAGTCTTCCTACTTGAAACTAAGATCAGAAGTTTCCGGTGTTGAGAGCAACGAGTCTTCCAGTCTGTTCTAGGCCTGTAAGTCCCCAAGGGTGGTCTTAGCCTCCCAGAAGCTCCTCATAGATACTGGCTCACAACTGTATTGCTCTGAAGTATGAAGTAGATTTTATAAAATATAAATTTTTTTTTAAATTAAGTTAAAAGCCTACTGGCAGAACTCTAATGAATCAAACTGAAGGCCACAATCCCTGCCTATCTTGTATTGTGTGGTTACATAGTTTACTCTTTACTTACCTTTCCGGTTTTAATCCTTAACTCTTGTTCCTACTGGAAGTAGAAATACAGTAGACCCCTTGGCAGCTAAGAGCATGGGCGCTCGAGCCAGACTAGCCGGTTTCAATCCTAAATTCACCGCTCACTGGCTGTGTGGCTTTGGCAAATCATAGCTCCTCTCTGTGCGTCAATTCTTCGTCAGTAAAACAGAAATAACAAAATATAAATAAAGTAAAACAGAAATAGCAAGTTTCTGCCTTTGGGGTATTGTAAGGATAATTCAGTCGCTGTGCGAAGCCCTGGGCACAGTGCCAGGTTACAGTGAGTGATGCAAGGTCAGCTAATGTGCTCGATGCCTGCCCAGTGAGTCAGCTGGCCTCTCCACGTGGGGCAGTGCAGGGTTCCCAGGGTATACAGAAGTCACTCAAGTTTCATGGGCATTTTCTCAGCGGCAGTGGTGAGCAAAGCACCAGCCTGCCGGAGAGCCCGTGACCTCACCTGCGCAGCTGCAGTGTGTCAGCCTCAGTCGCCAGTGAGGACCAATTTATTATATGCCTTTTCTGAATGCAGAAGTCTTAAGTCTGCAACTAGATAATTCCAATTGAGAAATTTAGTAGCAAGGCTTATTTAACAGAGTATTCATCCACCTTGTGAACTTGACACATGTAAGTATCTTTCTGGCTTATTCATTCATCTGGCTTCCTGCTTTGAATGAAGGATGCACAGATTAACATCATCACCGGCACAGTAGTCAAGCAGAGAAACCCCGGGCAAAGTGATTTATGTGACTTTTGTAACATTGTATTTTCTGTAGATTGTGAGCATCTCATTCGGAGAATGTTGGTCCTAGACCCATCTAAACGGCTAACCATAGCTCAAATCAAGGAGCATAAGTGGATGCTCATAGAGGTTCCTGTACAGAGACCTGTACTCTATCCACAAGAGCAAGAAAACGAGCCCTCCATTGGGGAGTTTAACGAGCAGGTTCTGCGATTGATGCACAGCCTTGGAATAGATCAGCAGAAAACCATCGAGGTAAAGTGATCCTAGATGTGGCCGAAGATGCGTTAGCATTTGTCTGTCGTGGGACCCCGAAGCTGCACCCTCCCTGGTTCCTCCCACACAAAGTCTCCAGCATCGAGGCAGCTGTGTCAGATGCTACTTGCGCTGGTTTTCAAATTTGAATTCCTTACCTTCCCCCTGTGCCAGAAGTGCAAGGGGAGAGTCTGTAGAGGGCTCAGAAAAGGGAGAGTCGGCAGTTAGCAGGCACAGGGTGGACTGTGAAGCTCCACATCAGGGTTCACCTAGTTTGTGTGGACTGTAAATACACAGGTACGGAGCTAGGCTAAGGCCTGAGCAGGAAACAAGAGAAGGCAGAGTTTAGGAACCGGTTAGGTTAGGCTGTAGCCTGGAGAAGCAAAAAGGGCAGAATCCTGATTTGAAGCTTATAAACCTGGAAAATTCCTCTTAGCTTTTCCCTGTCCTGTAATAGTGTATTTATAGGGTGTGTGTCTGGGCGTGTATCTAAGGTGTGCACAACAACAACAAAACAAACAGTGCTTTAAGGGAGAATCACAACAAGAAAAAATATCAAATATCCCTCCCTTTTGGGTTGAAAGATAAAGATTCCAGAGCATGTTGCACGGTCCCCGTTGCAGCAGTAAGCTACACAGTGGCTTTCCGGCTTCACTCTCCGGGCGCCCAGTACTGTTTTCTCGTACTTGTCCCTAAAGTAGACCCAGAACGGCGGCGCCGCTGGCCTGTGATCTTCGCAGGGACTGCTTGTGGCCGTGGCCCCAGTGCAGCTCCCATGCGGACTGGCAACTAGCAGTGGAAACCAGAGAACCAGCTGTTTCTCTGCTGCGTGAGCATCCGAAAACCGGCAGGGTAGTGATGTGAAAATTTGGGAAACAACTTTTATTTTCAAGGTTTCAAAAGGATGGGACTACAAAAACAAGAGGAAAATTACCTAAGAACAGAGACACAGTGTCTCAATCTAGCCCCTAAACATTGCTTGTTAGCCCAAAATAATCGCCATAAGGTTCCCCAAAGGCTTTAGTCATTCACCTAAGAGTTTTAATGATTCTGGACTTGAGTGAAAGAATTAGTACTTGTGCACATAGGCCAGCCGACCTCGCACTGTAGTTAGCACCGTGAGCGGGACCACAGGATGCATCAGGAGTGTCTATGTGAGAGAAGGGCGGCGTTGCCTCTCAATGCAGAAAGGTCTAAGTGGATCCTGATCGTGTAAAGGGCCAAGGACATGCTACCCTCCATGAAACTGCAGCTTCCTGCCTTTCACTGAATTCTAGAACAGATTTCATTCTGAGGCCCGACTTTGCTGCTTCACTTTGAAGAACCCACTGTCTTTCTCCCGTCTTTGAGAAAGGTGGAGACCACTGGACTGATCTTTGTGGTTCTGTGCCTTCACCGCTTGTTTTCTCTTTCAGTCTTTGCAAAACAAGAGCTACAACCACTTTGCCGCCATTTATTTCTTGCTGGTGGAGCGCCTGAAGTCACACAGGAGCAGCTTTCCTGTGGAGCAGAGGCTCGACGGCCGCCCGCGGAGGCCCAGCACCATCGCCGAGCAGACAGTTGCCAAGGTAACGCAGGTCTTTCCGAGCTCGTGCTGTTCACACGGTTGACGTATTGTCATCCGGAAGGGAAAAGAGTTAGGGTTTCATTGCGTTCTTCTCTCTGGCAAGTTTCAGCCTTGATCATTCACTGATTCCTAAACGTTCTAGCGCCTTCACAGTTTTCAGGATTAGCTTTGTTTCACATAGTGTTTTTTTTCTTTTAAGAAATATTTCATTTTTAATCATTTGCTCATGTTGAGGGTTAATGTGACTAGCCTGCATAGTTGGTTTTCATTAAAAATTTTGCTGCGGATTTACATGTGCGAGCCTTCGTTGTTAGGTTCTGGAGGAGCTGGTGTAGAGCACAGTTATTGCCCTCTCAGATGTTACACTGCAGAAGCAAAATAAGATCATACGCGATCGTCCTCAGAGAAAGATGGACGCTGCAGACGAGCTGAGCACATGCCGGGCGTGTCGCAGAGGGCACCTAGACCTTTAGCAGATTCCCTTGATATCTCAAATCTGTATTTAATTTGGATTGAGGTTCAGGTAAATAACACAGTCTGGAATCATTGAAGAGAGGCAGGACTGCAGGGCGACAGACCGGGCGGAAGAGGCAGCAAAGTGAGATGGACAGTCCTGTGCTCAGCGGGAAGGGTCACACCAGTTAATCCGCCTGGCTTGAAGCAAGCAGAAGCTGGAGTAGCAACTCGAAGCCGTTTTGTGACAGTTCTGAAAGCCAAGGCCGAGAGTTTACTTACAGTTTAGGAAGCAGGAAGAAGCTGCTGACTGCTGTTAAGCAGAAGAGTGATAGAATGTGTCCATCCTTGAAGCTAATTCATCTGAGCACCTGGAAAATGTCATTTCAATAGGAAGAGAAGAAATTTGGAGAGCACTGTGGAGATTGCAGGAGTTGAGATGAGAAATACTCAAGGTTTAAACTAATATTGTGTTGGCAGAATAAAAAGAAAAAGGCAGGCATCAGCAGGAGCCTGTGTGCACTTAGGAGGCTTTGACAGACAGCTCCACATCGTGGCTCGAAGCGCAGGCGGGGACAAGCCCAGGATTTTGCCATTTTTTTCCTGTGACTTTCAGAGTTTCTTAAGAGCCAGGCACAGCGACACAGGCCTGTACCCAGACACTATCTCAAAGTAAAAACTGAAGACAGGACTAACTTAGTGGTAGACAACTCTGGGTTCAGTCCCAAGTACTGTCAAAAAATATTTTTTTCCTTAAGATTTTTCTGTGTCTAAGTTTCACAAGTATCAAGTGGAGATAATATTAGGAATGTCATGACAGTAAAATTAGCTATTATTTGTGACACATGTAGACAGTCTCTAGCACAGAGTAGGGTTATGTAAGTGGCTGTTATGTAAAGTGGTAAGTCAGTGACAGGGCGTTAGGGATGCCTGTGTCCTGGAGCTCCGGCCCGAGGGACAGGGCACCGCTAACTCAGTTCATGGGCAGTGGTCCCGGAGACAGGCTGGGCCAGGCAGCGCTGGGGAGTCATCTTGGTAGCAGCTGGGAAGAGTGTTTTGTTTGTGTGCTGTGTTAGGGCTGCTGTCCACTGCTGCAAGCACTTTCTTTGTTCAAAGTAAAATCAAGAGGAGAAAAATTTGAAGTTTATGTTTCTTTGCAATTTTATAAAATCTATGCACTTACAAGAAAAGTTTGCATTGGCCTCTACAGAACATGTAAAATTTTGTTTTGTTTACATAATTGTATCCTTTATATAAAAAGTGTATTGATGCAAAGATGAATGAAACAACATATTACTACACTTCCAGGTTAGTGTATCTCTGAGTTGAACTGTGTTGCTTTCAAGCAGAGAGGCTGTCACAGTCAGACATCGTTGGCTAGGAAGTAACAGGGAGAGGAGAGGAGACGTGCCCCCTAGCAGAGGGCAGGACAGCGGCAGGAAGCAGGAGCAGCCAGACGCAGCTTCCCTGCCAAGCTTCTGGACGAGCGAGGGGGCAGCAGGGCACAGAGCCGTTGCTCCGAGCACCTGCGTGTGTGATGTGCTCTCCTGAGTTGCTGTGTGTGTTACTGTTACTGCACACGATGTCCTTTCCGACCTAGACTTTTAGCAGACTCCCGTGGATATCTCAAATCTGTATTTAATTTGGATTGAGGTTCAGGTAAATAACACGGTATCCTAACATTTGTTAACTTGGGTTTTTATTACAAACACGCCGTGAGTTCTTTTCACTGTATGCGTTGGCCCCAGTCATGATAGAACCCTGCTTTCTGTGACTTCACCTGTGTCTCCCCGACTCGTCCTCCAGCTTGTCTTGCACGCCTTCTGGGACCAAGCAGGGGACACTGTAACTGAGGACAGCGCTCCCTTGCTTTGAGAGTACGTTCTGTGTTTCACGATAAAACTGAGGAAAAATAGATTCTGTGGTTTTGGAGAAAGAGGGAACCAAAAAATGTATACAACTTCAGAAAAGAAAAGTTGTATACTAAATTAACTGAGACATTATGAGATTAATACAGTTTCCTTTGGCCTCTCCAGTTACAAGAAGAGCTCCAGGTGGTGGCCACGCGCTGTCAGGCATGTTAGTTCAGTGATCTGCTGCCCGGAGAATCTCGGGTACTGAGGCACATGCATTTTCAGCTTCTCCTCTTACGAGCGTGCGGTGGCGCAGGTTTCTGTGATAGACTCCGTCTTTAGGGCCCCCATACATAACAGTCTGCAGGTGTTAAGCTCGAATGTGCACCTTACACATCTTTCTTTTCCTAAAGTGTGTATACACATTTTTGGTGGACTCCATATATGCTTGACATTTTAATACAGCCTTCTGGCTTTAATTCTTTGATGTTCTAATTTTTTTTGTAGAGAAGAGGCAGATCATTTCTTACTTATGTAGCAAATTGAAGGAACAATATGATCTCATACAGAGGACTCATGGACTACAGAATCGTGTGGAGCATAAGTTCCGAGCTGAGATGAGTGACTGTTCAAATCCGCATTTCTGAACTTCGGTGTCCTTCAGTATAAAACGCAGATAGCAATTCCTGCACTTGCTAGGGCAAGACCGGCCTTGGCGCGTCTCCTCCGCAGTTTCCGATAAATCACTTTATTCCTCAGTTGCCCCGGGGAGAACCCCTTTTCCCGAAAGCTCCGCAGGTCGCAGCGCAGTGTCTAACGCCGCCGCGTGTCTGTGTGTTCTCGCCGTCTGCAGGCACACACCGTGGGGCTCCCGGTGACCACGTCCGCCCCCGCCGCCAGGCTGATGCCGTCCGCCCTGCCCGCGCCCGCGGCCACCGTGGAGGCCTTCTCCTTCCCCGCGTCCAGCTGCCAGGCCGAAGCCGCCTTCATGGAGGCCGAGTGTGTGGACACCCCGAAGGTAGGCAGGGAGCTGCGGGGCAGCTGCGGCGTGGCTGCTGCTGCGGCCCTCGGCCTGCGACCGCCTCCCGGGACTAAACCCACGCGTGGGCACCCGCGCCTCCCACTGCGCCTCCTCTGCCGGTCCCTTCTCTTCTTGTTTCTAGTCCCTACAGGTGCTTGGGTTTGTCTTTTTTATATGTAAATTGTAACTCTGCAAACAAAAATGTTGCTGGCCTCCACCAGCGCGGGCCTGGTGTTGGTCGTGCTGACCGCGCTGAGGATGCTGCAGGTGCAGTGGACGGGCTCTTTCGGGTCAGCCGGCCACCTCTGTGTGTCCTCTGGACACGTGCGAAGGGGTTATTTTCATTGTACTCTACAGAGGTGGACTTAGGGGACGGGAGCTGACAGCCTGTCCCTTTCACTGGGTATTATTTATGTCCTAGAGTGTGTTACATACACTTGGGGTCAGGTGTTGCCCAGAAGTCTTACCAGGGGGCGCAGAGTGTCACAGGAGAATGTGGGTCTTAGGGGTGCTGAAATGCTGCTCTCACCAAGCTGTGTGAGCTTGGGCAGGGTGAGCAGCCTCTCTGAACATCAGTTTTCTTCTGTATGAAATGAAAATACCAACTGTTGGACTGTTAAAGGGTTGGTTGTAATGTGTGTGAGGGTCGGAGCCGTGGACGTGTTTAATAGGGATGTTTACTGTCTTTATCCTCTTTAGGACTGAAAAGGTGAGGCAGACAGGGGTCCTGCCTCTCAGTCTGCTGGATTGTGATCTGGCAGAAGGAGTTTACATACCTGGAGACAGTATGCTAGATGTGGACAAATTAGTCACAGATAAAATGTGGCTTGTGCCATCAGGAGCCACAAGTCAAAGCCAGGCCAGAAGGAGGCGGGAGGGGGTTACCGCTTGCCCGGCGAGGCCTCTGGATGCACCATGTGTGAGAGCAGAGAATGGCCACGTGGGGAAGATTGAGATTGTTGAAAACAAGCGAAACATCTTCAGTGGTGAGAAATCCGTGAGCAAAATCAATCCATCTACAGCAGAGAAGTTGCTCAGCTGGAGGAAAAGGGCAAATGGAGGAGGGAAGCTGCCCGAATCAGAGCGCACAGGCCAGCTTTACATGGCCAGCCAGGCAGCGTGCACTGCTCGCCAGGCGGGTGCCGTGGGCCGGGCGTGTGCCTCATGTCAGCCGAAGCAGCTAGAGACGCCGCTATCAGGGCGCTGGGAGGCGGCTGGAGATTCCGGGCAAGGACACCGTCTGTGTGCTGTGCCTCAGAAAATTAGCGCTTGCGCTTCCTGGCACGCACAGGATGCAGGGAGCCGGGCAGGGCAGTCGGGATTAGGGTGTGTGCCCGAGGGAAGGGGCCAGGCCTGGAGAAGAGGGGCCAGGGGAGGGGAGAGCAGGGCGCAGGGGCTGCGCACTGACAGGACTTCAGGATTCCAAGACGGTCCACACCTGTAACAAGATTGGGGCCTGGACCAGCGGGAGCATGTGTGTCGTTTTCAGAAATCGGGGCCTCCAGGTATTAAGAGGATTCAGAAGTTAATCCAAGCGTTTTGCTGGGGCACGGCCGACGGGGCAGCTCCACGGCAAGCGTTAGCCCAGTCGCTGCCCCAGAGTCGCTGGCTCCCGCCCCCAGCACAGACTCTCGTGCCGTACCGTGGATGGTCTGTTTCCTCTGCTGGTAGGTGCTTAGCCTGTTAAATGACCTCACAAAATACTGCTACATTCCTGCCCCGAAAGTAGGCATAAAGGCAACACAATTCATTCATTTTGAAGATTTAATTCTCTCGAGAAAATTAAAATGCAGTCTGCCAAAGTCTTGTATGTGAGGGCATCAGGCCCAAAACACAGATTGGGCGCTGTCTGCTGTATTATATAGGGCAAACTATTTTTAAAGCTTGTGATTGTTACAGTAACTAGGAAACAGACAGGAAATGAATGATTCTGTGCAAGATTCAGACAGGAGCTAGATGATATATTTGCATTTGCAGGAAGAACAGTGCCGTGCTGGCTGCTGGCGGTGCCCCCGACACCCTGCCAGACCGTAAACAGCCTCTGGCCTTCCTGGGGATCACTCCATCCACGTCAGCAGCAGTGCTTGTCCGCCTTCCCTCCCTCTTTCTATGGGACTTACACCTACAGGCGCACAGACACCCCGGAAGCTCCCCTCTTTTTGTTCCTATTGCATCATATACATGACGGTAACATTTGTTGTTAAAAGATGTTTCAGAGCTGCACGTATTTCTGATTTTGTGTTCTCAGTCATGCTAAGTGTAGTGTGTTTCAGCAAGAGTTTATCTCCTTCCGTCCCAGAAGGTTTTCATTCTTAAAACTCCAAAATGCCATAGGAGCTCAAGATTGGAACTTTGGTTTGGGACTTTTAAAAATAGCACCTTTCTGAGAAAGTCACCCTTTTCTGAGTAAAAATGTGGGTCTGAATGATCCCTGAGACTCAGACGACACAGAAACTATGCGGAGGGCAGGAGCGGTCACCCTGTGAGGCCGCCTTGCTTCTGTGACTGCTTCTCTGTAAATAGTGGATCGTACACGCACACATCGTTTTAAAATTTTGTTACAGACTATAATAAAGAGAATTTTTCAAGATAGCATCTTCCTAGGTGATGGCAGAAGAGAGCCTAGTGTCTCAGGATGCAAAAGAGGCGGGTCTTACACCCGGTGACTGTCCCAGCAAAGGTAGCGGAGACGAGGGATGGTCAACCTCAAAACCTGTAAGGGAGGGACTGTTACCTCCTCTCGGTCCTTCCTTTCTTTCTAGTGGTGCTGGAGATTGAGCTCAAGGCTTCTATATACAGTCTGCCTCAGAGCTGTGCCCCCAAGCCTTCAGTCTTACTTCTAAGTTTAAGATTCTGATTCAGACTTATAATTTTAGATTGAAAAATCCAACATGTCATAATCATTTATGAAAAATCCAGAGAAGGATAAAGAAAAATGTCATGGATAATCTCATTCCCAGAGATCCTGCTGCTGCAGCGTCCTCTCGATGGCTGGCGGCTGGGAGCGGGGACATCTCAGACACCGCCAGCAGCCCCTCCAGCAGCTCCCTCTCGGGCACCTTTGCTGCGGTGCGGGAGCCGCTCGTGGAAGCGGGCTTTGGAGCAGCTGCCTGGTGCAGTGTGTAGGCGCGCAGCTAACTGCTGCCCCGGGTCGAGCCTCAGACGCTGCCTTTTGTTTGTGTCCTGCGTCCTGACCTGTGCTTAACGTGACTATCTTTTTAATCTAAATTTTTACTACACTTCCGTTCCTTTAAGGTGCATTTCTAGAACTGATGTTGCTCGTTGCTTTGCTTCTTCACCTGGTTGTTTAATTTGCCTCGAGATGGTTTCAATGCTTTTTAAAAACTGTTGTAGTGTTGGAAGCCCAGCGCGGGGTGCGTGCCTGTAACCCCACAGCAATGGGGCGCTGAGGCAGGACTGCCGCAGTTCGAAGCCACGTGGGCCACGCAGTGAGTCCAAGGCTGCCATGCACCTACAGCAAGACCGTCTCAAAGAAGTAAAGTAATTGGCTGCAGTTTTATCTTCATACTTTTCAATGCTTATTATTAAACATTCTCTTCATTCAAGAAATATGCCCGGTGTGGGCTGCTCACCTTAATCTCAGCACTCAGGAGGCTGAGGCAGAAGGCTTGTCATGAGTTCAAGGCCAGCCTGGGCTACGTAGTGAGTCCAAGGCCAGGCTGAGCAAAGAGCTTGGGGGGTGGGGGGAGCAAAGAAAAGAAATTCCAGTAAGCAGAAATGTGTGGAGTACCACACGTTAAGGGACTGTGCTCTTTCACTATATATTAGCTGATCCACCCTGTAGATTAATCTGTAGTTTTCATCCTACCTTACAAATGAAAGAAACTAAGCTGCATAGAAGTTTTAAATAACCAGTAAGCAACGGAGAATGAGGGGTTAGCCTAGAGCACTTCCTTACTGTGTGCCAAATACGCCAGGCGCTTGGGATACAAACTGAGAAAGATTCATTCCCGGCCTCCAGACTCACTGTCTAGTACTGTGCTTTGGTTTGCTGTCAGTCTGCTTTCCTTCATAACACAATGCCGGAGGCTGAGGAGTTTAAACAACAGAAATGAAGTTTCTCACAGGTCTAGAGGCACAAAGTCCAAGGTCAAGCTTGCAGCTGATCGACTCTCTGATGTGCTCCTCCTGATTGTCAGAAGGCCACCTTCTCACTGGGTTTTAAGACCTCACACAGCCTTTTCTCCGTGTGCAGGCAGCAGTTAGGGCTGAGCTGCCTGGTGTCCCTTCTTGGAAGGACTGCCCCTGTGCAGTAGATACAGCCCTCGAGGGTGAGGTCAATGTGAGGCTTGTGGAAGGGCACACGGGCTCCGTCCCTGGCGCTGTGCCCGCCGCCCATGCTGGAAGCCACCTTCCCAGCAAAGCTAAGCTGCTAAGTGCCAGGTACTTGTTGTCGGTGGACCTTTAGAAGTGGCTCACTACTTGAAACTATTTCAGGTCCTTCTTGCCTAGAGCAAAAAATTGGGTGAAAGAAGTCAAAAATGGTGCCAGAAGTTTATGTGAAACACTGGGTGAAGGGTTAGGGAAAGACCTAGCTGGGTAGCACGCCTGAGCTGGCAGGGCGGAGCCAGCAGTGCCCGCTGCCCCAGGAGGCGGAGCCAGCGGTGCCGGCTGCCCCGAGGAGGCGGAGCCAGCGGTGCCCGCTGCCCCAGGAGGCGGAGCCAGCGGTGCCGGCTGCCCCAGGAGGCAGAGCCAGCGGTGCCCGCTGCCCCGAGGAGGCGGAGCCAGCGGTGCCGGCTGCCCCGAGGAGGCGGAGCCAGCGGTGCCCGCTGCCCCGAGGAGGCGGAGCCAGCGGTGCCCGCTGCCCCAGGAGGCGGAGCCAGCGGTGCCCGCTGCCCCGAGGAGGCGGAGCCAGCGGTGCCCGCTGCCCCAGGAGGCGGAGCCAGCGGTGCCCGCTGCCCCGAGGAGGCGGAGCCAGCGGTGCCGGCTGCCCCGAGGAGGCGGAGCCAGCGGTGCCGGCTGCCCCCCAGGAGGCGGAGCCAGCGGTGCCCGCTGCCCCCAGGAGGCGGAGCCAGCGGTGCCGGCTGCCCCAGGAGGCGGAGCCAGCGGTGCCCGCTGCCCCAGGAGGCGGAGCCAGTGGTGCCCGTTGCCCCGAGGAGGCCGAGGTGACATCCGCATCTCACGGAGCCCAGGAGAAGTATCGCTGACTGGGTCCTGGGAGTCACTTGACGTCTTCCTGGGATCTTGTAATTGACAGATCCCACTTTTCCAGCCAACGTTGCCGTGTTCTATCTTCTATAGCAAAAGGGCAGAATCTGTCGTGGTAAAGCCAACGAGAAAATGAGAGTTACTGGGCAGGTTTTTTGGATTTTTAAGATGACAGGGTGTCACTTTGTAGTTCAGGTTGGCCTTGAACTAACTGTGTAGTACAGGCTGCCTCAAACTCACAGCGATCCTCCTGCCTCAGCCTCCCGAGTACTGGGATTGTAGGCATGCGCCACCACCCCTGGCTACAGATTTTTGTTTTCTGATGCTATCAGGGAAAGACTAGTTCTGTTCAAGAAAGAAAGCACGCCGGCTCTTCCTTCAGAGTGGCTGCTCCTTGCTTAGGGCCTGCTACGCGTCAGCCACTCACCCAGGTCAGGGCTCTGGCCCCAGCAGTTTTTGGAGCAGGAGCATCCCCTCCCCCAAGCAAACAAAGATCTGCGTCACCCAGCTTTCCCTCTCCAAATAAAGAGCCTCGCAGTGCTTCAAATGGTTGCCATAAAGGAGAGCTTCCTGTGCCTGCACAGGGGGCCCCACGTCACCCCTCGCAGCCAGGAGCTGCTCCTGCTCCCGAGGAGCTGCAGCCCTACCTGGTGTGCTCAGAGCGGGCGCACCGCGCTGGCTGCTGCTGCGCAGCTATTCACAGGAGGGAACGGATCGATTCCCACGGGGGATGCTCACGGTAATGAGCTAAGTAATTGCCTCCTCTGTGGGGCTTTTACCAGCCGAAGAAGGCGAAACCGCGGCTCCCCTTTGTGTGTGTCTCTGCCTGTCATTAGGTGTTGGCTTGCCTGGCAGCCGCGGAGAAGGCAGTGCCGGCTCAGGAGCTGCTAGCCGTCCCTCTGGGCAGGGCCGTGGCTGGTGTGTGTGCAGAGGCCGCCATGCGCTGGCTCCTGGCCTCTGCTGGACCAGGGGCCTGAGCCTCTGTCATTCGCTAAAGGACGGCTTTGGCTGTTTGCTGTTTGAATTTTTTTTAAACTCTTCTTGTATCAGTCCGTCTTTGAAGAGTTCTTAATTTTATTTCTCATGCACACAGAGCCAATTAAAGACTACATCACATGGGCAGATACTTAAATTATAAACATAAAGTATGTCCAGAACCTTCCTGTATGTTTTGTGGATAAAAATTTCAAGAATTCTAGTGAATTCTTTGCTTTTAGCTATGAGCCATGTACTTAAGCAGAGGGGAAAAAGCCATCTTTCCCCGTCTCCATTTCTTATTTAAAAAGAAAAGTAACTGGCAGGCCTCAAGCTAATAACAGCGCTCTTCATCTGAAAGCCACTGAAACACTGTTCATGGTAACAATGGCTCGGAGTCCTGGCCAGTGCCAGCCTGTGTCTCTGAGAACTGCACTTGTCCTGGCTTTTGTGTGTCACCAACTTTCCGCAAGTCCTGGGGCGTTTTCCTCTGGGAGTGTCTCTGCTGTCTGAGCACGGCAGCACGGCTGAGTCTCCCACCCCTGTGCCCCCGGTAGGTGAATGGCTGTTTGCTTGACCCGGTGCCGCCTGTCCTGGTGAGGAAGGGATGCCAGTCGCTGCCCAGTAACGTGATGGAGACCTCCATCGACGAAGGGCTGGAGACAGAAGGAGAAGCTGAAGAAGAGCCCGGCCATGCCTTTGAGGCGTTTCAGGCCACGCGCAGTGGGCAAAGACGGCACACTCTATCGGAAGTGACCAACCAGCTGGTCATGGTGCCAGGAGCAGGTATGGGACTGGAGAAGTGCTTAAATCTCACAGCATCAGCCAGCAGTGGTGGCGCACACCTGTAATCCCAGCATGTGGGAGGCTGAGGCAGGAGGATTGCTGTGAGTTGGAGGCCAGCCTGGACTACATAGGAAGTTCAGTGCCAGCCTGCACTGTATCTCGAGACCCTGTCCTTAAAAAGATCTTCACAGCATTATCTCATGCCCCAGTCACTTTGAAGTAACAGTTCCTGGGATTTAGTCTGTATCTGAATATTGCAGGTTGTAGCTCAGCTGGTGAACAGCTCACAGATTAAATGCAGTCTCTGAGTGACCACCTCCCTCAGGGGCTCATGATGCGGTATTTCCTGGGAGGCTCTGGCTCTTTTGGAAGGAAGCAGCCAGATCTCCTGGGTGCAGTTTCTTGAGGGTTTCCCCCTCTGCATTGGAAGAGGATTAAATTGACCTGCAAGAGGATGTGAAAAAGCATGGAGTGTTTGGGGGGACAGGGAAGGGCACTAATGTTGGTTTTGGTTTTTTCCTGTGGGGATTGAACCAGGGCCTCAGCCATGCGAGGCAGGCACTCTGCTACTGAGCTACTTCTCCAGCTCTGAAGAAGCTGTTTTTTATTTTGGGTTTTGGAGGTTTGTGGAGACGGGATCTCACTGGATTGTCCAGGCTGGTCCCACCGCTGGGTTCAAGCAGTCCTGCCTCGGCCTCTTAGGTGGCTGGGACTGCAGACATGCACCGCTTGGAAGGACGTTTTAATCAGAGATTAAGGACCCGCTGCTATCAAGAGGATAGCTGTTGGCTGGTCCGATGGCAGTGGGTTATCAGAACTTACTAACATTAGTGTCACTAAAGTTGGTATACCACCCCCCACTGCTAAATTTGACTGGCTTAAAAAAAAAAGAGGATAGCTGTTATACCTTGTACCCTACGTTCAGAGGTGACCCAGTTGCTGTTTTGTTTCTCTTAAAGGAAAAATGTTCTCCGTGAGTGACAACCCCTCCCTGGACAGTGTAGACTCCGAGTACGATATAGGGTCTGCTCAGAGGGAGCTGAGCTTCCTAGAGGACAACCCTTCCCTGAAGGACATCATGGCAGCCAATCCGCCCTCGCCCCGCATGACGTCGCCCTTCGTGAGCCTGCGACCCACCAACCCGGCCATGCAGGCTCTGAGCGCCCAGAAACGAGAGGCGCACAACAGGTCACCAGTGAGCTTCAGAGAAGGCCGCCGGGCGTCAGACACCTCCCTCACCCAAGGTGACGCCTTCTCCTGGGGCACAGGGTGGGGGTGGCCACGCGGGTGGACCTGCAGTCACTGGGGTGGACTGTGTGCTTAGCCTGCGGCCTCTGCACTCTCCCTCAGGAATTGTAGCGTTCAGACAGCATCTTCAGAATCTCGCTAGAACCAAAGGCATCCTGGAACTGAACAAGGTGCAGCTGCTGTACGAACAGATGGGGCCCGAAGCTGACCCTGTGCTGGCCTCCGCCTCCCCGCAGCTCCAGGACCTCGCGGGCGGCTGCCCTCAGGTGGGTGCCGCGGGCCCCCTGCCACGCCGCGGCCAGTGTGAGGTGTGAGTTTCCAGGTGGGCAGCGCTCTGCACTTGGGGGCGCTGCTCCAGGCCTAGAGGGCGGGCTCAGCCCCAGAGCTGTCTTGGATGCTGCCGACGCAGCAGTGGCTCATGGGCGGGCGACTGCGCGGTGGCCTTGTGGCCCTCCGGACCTCCCAGGCACACACATGAACCAGAGCCTCTTGACACTGCTTCTGACGTACAGTCACTTCGTGAAACACCGTGTGGATTGTTCCTACCAAAAATACGGTAAGCAGTGCTGCTTAGCCGTCACCATGGAGGCTGTTTCCCGCCTCAAGAATATCCACTATCAGAGCCCACGTGAAGGGGCGCCTCGGGCAGCACCAGAAACCTTTCTGCTTCTAACCCTGATAGGGAATTGTTGACTGCAGATACTGCGTGTATAGATTCTCCGCAAAGTAATTAACCTTTCATCTACTAATTATGTAAAAACTTTCAATATCATGTCTTACAGAGTTGAGATTGCTCCTGGTCCTTAGCAAAGGTGCTTAAACACTAAATAAGAAATGAAACTTCCCACATGGAAAGTTGAAAAATTGTTTCACTCCCTTGCTTCTCAGGAGGAAGTTGCCCCGCCGCAGGAAGGCGTCCCCCCGCTCTCCAGCAGCGTGCATCCCCAGCTGTCCCCGCGGCAAAGCCGGGAAACTCAGTACCTGCCACACAGGCTTCAGGTGGGGACCCTCTTGACAGCCCGGCTCTCGGCCGCCCATCCAGAACCTTCCACTCTGGAAGCAGAAGGCTGTGTCTTAGGGTCGATGCTTTACTTCTGTAGACAAGGGGTCTCACTCTGTAATTATTTCTCAAAATACGGTCAGACTTAACCTTACGCTATGTGTGGCGTTAGGAAAGGATTGGCCTTTGAAAGGGTAATACCACTCAGTGGTGAAAAGGGAGCCTGGCTTGTTCCTAATTTTATCCTGCTTAAGTGAATAAAATGAAAGTCTTAAGTCTGCAGAATGTTAACTTGAGCTGTGTACACTAGGGCATGAAATCTTAAGAAATGACACAGCATAGATCATATCAAGAATTCCTAGGGGCTGGGGATTGCAAGCAGGCGATTGTGAGTTCAATCCCTGGTACCAATAAAAATGAAAAAGACAAAAAAAAAAAAAGAATTCCTCTTCAAGCATCTGCTGACGCCCATGCTTACGCCTGGTTTTCTCACCTCTCGGTCCTAGAGAGGTTTTAGAAGTAGAAAACAAGTAGATGAGAACCAGGACTGCCCTCAATGGCTGGCCTGGTGATGTCCTTCCTGGTCTCGCGAGAAGGGTCAGTGCTTCACCCTGTGTGGATTCTGGGGGCCACCCCAGTCACCCTCCAGGCAGAAGTGCATTCTGAAGACTGCGTCTGGCGACAAATGTTGTTTATATCATTTCCCTCCCTTTCAGAAACCCGGCCTTCTATCAAAGGCCCAGAACACCTGTCAGCTGTATTGTAAGGAGGCGCCACGGAGCCTGGAGCAGCAGCTTCAGGAACACAGGTGAGGGAGTCTCCGGCCTGTGAAGCTGCTTTCTTGCTCGGAACCCTGAGAGGGCTCGCTCTGCTGTCCTCTCCCGTTCTTGTTTGCCTCAGTGGGAACACAGGCGAGTGTGCGGTCAAACTCAGTTTCCAGCATGATTGCTGATGAGCTCTTCGAGCATCCGTGCAGTGTGGGCCGTCAGGCAGCAGCGGCCCCCAGATGTATTTTCCTTTCCTGCTAGCACTTGTTCCTCTGGGACAAGACTGGACCTAAGCTTTAACATCCCTGGCCGAGAGCAGATCAGGTGGCTTAGACTGCTGAGAAGGCCTCCTGTCGGCCAGTGTCCATGCCCACAGCCTCACTAGGCAGCTTGGCCAAGAGAGACCTACCCTGACCAGTCAACGCCCAGACACCCACGGAAGCCAGGGCATTCATTATCACCCCCCTGACCAACCCAGGGGACAAACCAACCTCTCCCTCGGAGAGACAAACTCAGCACTCACGCTCACTTAGCATTGAGGGGTCAGTGAGAATTAGGGGGCAGAAAGTGAAATTAGCTTTCAGAAATGCAACATCTGTCACCTTGTTCCCCTTGCATGGGAAAGAGAAGTGGCAGCCTGGAGCTAACGCCTGGCACTGGATTTACATTAACACTGTCGTTACTTGAGACTTAAAACACTCTCCTTTGATATTGCCGCTGTAGGCTCCAGCAGAAGCGACTCTTCCTCCAGAAGCAGTCCCAGCTGCAGGCGTATTTCAATCAGATGCAGATAGCTGAGAGCTCCTACCCTCCACCGAGTCAGCAGCTGCCCCTGCCCCACCCGGAGACTCCACCTTCGTCTCAGCAGCCCCCGCCATTCAGCCTGACCCAGTCCCTGAGCCCTGTCCTGGAGCCTTCTTCTGAGCAAATGCAATACAGCCCTTTCCTCGGCCAGTATGAAGAGATGCAGCTGCGGCCCCTGCCCTCCACGCCCAGTGCCCGGGCAGCTCCTCCACTGCCCACGCAGCTGCAGCAGCAGCCGCCACCCTCACCTCCTCCTCCGCCACAACAGCCAGGAGCTGCTCCTGCCCCCTTACAGTTCTCCTCTCAGACTTGCGAGCTGTCAAGTGCCACTTCCTCTGCTCCGGACTATCCCGCTCCCTGTCAGTACCCTGTGGACGGAGCCCCGCAGAGCAGTCTCACAGGCCCGGACTGTCCCCGAAGCTCAGGACTGCAGGAGACCCCCTCCAGCTATGACCCACTGGCCCTCTCCGAGTTACCGGGACTCTTTGATTGTGAAATGCTAGATGCTGTGGATCCACAACACAGTGGGTATGTCCTGGTGAATTAATCTTGGCACAGGAAGTGAGGCGAATCTAGTGAAGGCAGACTGTATTTCTATTTTTATTCCAGCCTTTTCAATTTAAAGCCTGTTTTCTTGCTTTCTCCCTAATGGGGAAAAATCAAGTAACCCAACTGGAATCCGAGGGCCTCGCTGGGGTGGATGTGCTTCCTCCCGGCTCTGCCCCACTCAGTTTTCTGTAGTGAGTGCTGGAACATAGTTGTAGGCTGAAGCTCATTCCCTTGGTAAAATGGGGCAAACTCTCCAAGGAGGCAGAAACAAATGTTTGTGTAAGACAACAGCCAGACCTAGGTGACATGTAGAATTACAGCGTCTCATTGAGAGGAAGCTTGTGAAAGCCGGACAAACGCGAGCCATTGCGTTTATTATATGTATGGCCAAAAGGGAAAGGCAGTGTATTTTCGCTGAAGCGAAGCACCAACATTGCTTCAAGGCAAATCAAGAATATGTAATGAAATCTGATGCACAGGAAATAAAGGACAGTTGTGCTTTGTCTTTGAATGATGAGTTCCATGCTGCTGATGCAGGTTGTCTCTGAGACTGTCACAAAGCTATGGAGCACAGGCTGTTTCAGGGGCCACTAAATAATAGCTGGTACTGGCCCCTGAGACCTTCATTCGCCTCTATCTGGAAGCAGGTGACACACCTTTTCCCAAGGTGCCCCTGGGTTACTGAGTGTCAGAATATCCTCAGGGCTCCAAAGATGTCACCTGTGGATTTGACAGGAGACCCACCACAGTGGAGGCTGGGCAGCGTCACAAGCCCCAGCTCTTCCTACGTAGTCTCATGTGGAACTGGGGGCCGGTGGTCAGTCTCCGGAGGATGGCCTCTTGTTTCTTCTGTAGTAGAGTAGTTCTTTTGACTTTATCCTGTATGTTGCTAGTAGTTTATCCAGCTCGGTATATTTGACCAGTTTCATAGAGGGCTTAGAAATCTGAAGGCCACGCGGATGAACTCTGGTGTCTCCCGTGGAGTGTGGTGCTGTGCCTGCCCTCACCGCAGTCACGCTGCAGTTCTTTCTTTTCTGTAGAAACTCAGCAGTTCTCCATTTATGTCAATGCTAAATCCAAAGTCACTTCAGTTTGTTTTCCACCATGTGGGAATCAGCATTTTTAATTTCCTTAAAGTTCTGACTTGTAATGAAATGTTCAAGTATTAATAGCAATATTCAAAGAACCACAGATGTGTTAACTAAGCAGCTCATCTGCCAAACATGTCATTATTACTAGGAAAAAACACTCAAAATCCATTTGTCAAAGTAAATGAAAATAGATGCTATGGCTAATTGACCATGTACCTAGAAGTGATGAATGTTATTTGGACAATGACATCCAGATGTTACAAATTCAGTATTATTTATAAAAACTATAATTTCTGTCCTTTAGAGTGGCTTGTCCTATCAGCAGATGAATGCGTTAAGCACAAAGCATCTTCCTTAAAGCACAAAGAAGAGCGCTACTACACTGATGCTGCATCTAGAAACACCTCTCAGCTGCCTTTCCTCTTGGCAGTCTGCACCCGCGCAGGCAGGGACGCGGGGACGTCTGGAGTCATCCTGGCCCTAGCCCAGCCCTGCAGTGCTGGGGCCTTGAGCCGTGCTTGTGGCTGGCCAGAGCGCCTCGGCACTGGGCTCCCTCCCATGCCAGGTTGCTTCCCAGAGGCACTCTGCTTGGAGTTTGGCTCTGGGTGTCAGTAGGAAAGCGGGGTGGATATCATCTTTGTGATTTAGTAACAGTGAAAATCCAGGAAGAATGAATTATGTTCCTCTTATGGATTATCCTCCTCATGCTTAATAGTGATGATTTTTTTCAAATACAGAACATCACTTAATAGACCATTTCATTAAGATCTCTACATCTGGGGCTGGAGGTTTAGCTCAGAAGCATAAGCACCTGCCTTGCAAGCAGGCAGTCGTGAGTTTGATCCCCGGTACCGATAAAAAGGAAAAAGAAAAAAAAAAAAAAAATCTCTACATCTCTGCAAAAGAAGCCAGTTATAAAACAAGGTTTGATGTGTTTAGACTGAAGGAGGATATTTTCCTAAAATTACTACAGCAGCACTGTAATACTGCTGAAATTCAAATACCTTCCAGGTTGAAAACTGGGGCTGTTCATTTCAGGACTGGAGGAACGGCAGTGACAGATTGGCATAACTCCTGCCCCGGTCCCCCAGTAGGACCCCAAGCATTTAGCCCAGGAGACCTGAGTGGGAACTGTGGCAGGAATTAGGCAACCGAGGAGGGACGATGGAGCGGCTGTTGGCAAGTGACAGGACCCGGACAGAAGTCGGGACGCGCCGGCAGCGTGGCGGGGACGGCACCGACCCCGGTGCAGAGCCCCTCCCAGCGGGAGCCTCTGCTGTGAGCCCGTTCGCTTCTCTCACCTCGGCAGAAACCAGTAAATCCCACAGCATGTGTGTTCCCAGAAATGTGTGCTGGTGAGCAGAGAAGGAGCCCGCTGCTCGGATAGTGTCTGTGGTCTGTCTCTGTTGCTCTGTTCACTCACGAGGGACCCTTGGAGACTTCTGAGCAGTCTTTACTTCACAGACACTAGAGGAACACTAAGAAAGCTTAGGACCACGCTTTCGATGAGAGGCCACTTCCTGCCCACTTTCACATCAGCAGGTGTACACTACTGTAGAATAATCATTAGCTGTATGATCTTGTCAGCCAGGCTCCTCTGAAGAAACTGGTGAGATGGACGTGAGGTAAAAATTGCATTTGCTAAAAGTGCAATACGTGTGGTACTTTTTTATTTTTTATGAGTTTTTTCTTTAATCCAAGGGTATTGATCCTTGCCTGGGGGAAAATGCACTAGTTCTGCAGTTTCCAGCTGGGCAGATGGGCCTCCAGTATTTACAGGCCACTGAAATTCTGGTCCCTGTAAGGCAAATAAGGCACTTAGCATTAATTCCCCAGAGCTGCCTCGTCCCTACTTGTGCCCTCACGGAGCCTGTACTGCTCACTGGCCACCTGGGGAACAGGGAAGTGGACGGTTCCCACACCAGCAGCCCTCTGGAATCCACTGACTTGGGAGGCAGCAGGGCCTGCCAGGACTAGCGTCGGACTGAAGACTGTTAGAGCTGGCCAGTTAGAGCTGGCTAGTTAGAGCTGACCAGACAAAACTTCCTGGGCTTGCTCCTGGCCTCCTAGAGAATTCCTCCTCAGAAATCCAGAACTCCCAAGTGTTTAAACCGTGCCCTGGTGTCAGAGGGGAGAAAATAAAGTCAGCTCAGCTCTCGAGAGGAGAGTCGGGAAAAAAGGGGGTACTGTGCAGTGTCACCCTCCACACTGTCCCCAGCCCCTCCAGTCACAAGGTGACCTCTGTCACCTCTTGCTGTGAACTGGGGGTGTTACTATACCTAAGGTAGGGACATTGTTAAGGACCTCTGCCTGGTGGTTAGAGCTGGGGAAAAGGAGAGTGACGAGGTGATGAGACAGAAACCGGAGGGTGGTGGAGAGCAGCAGCTGCCAGTGACAGGTGCGCAGAGCCCCAGGTGCAGCACAGGAGTCTGGACACTAGGCAAGCTCAGGTTCTCAACTACGTGGGGTCACAGCTGTTTCTGCTCTGGATTGAACCTGTGTCCGCAGTTAGGCTTAAGCTGCCCTCTGGGTTCAAGACGATTCACACTCCAGGGTACTCCATGAAAGACAGTGCATGGTCTCACTTGACAGCACTGGTCCTGGGACTGACCTTGGCTGCATCTGTTCCCCTAAGCTGGGCTGCCTCTGCTGCCTCCTCAGAAGCCACCCGAGCCGCTCGGTCTCTTTCTGCCTACACATCACAGGTAAAAACTGGAGAAAAGATAGTAAGTTGGAGTAACTGTTTAGGCAGGGATCTTGAGTTATGTTGTTTCTGGAAACTTCGTACAGAAATTATCTTCAGAGTAATTTGTGGAAAACACAAGCAGTATCATTTATCTGTGCTTATAAACTATACAAAACGTTTTTTAAAATTCATATGCCCCTTTTAACAGGGTTTACCTGTGGCCTAGGCAAGGGACTGGCAACAGAGCTCTTTCTGGTGGCCCTCGGAGATGGCAGAACCAACTACGGGGATGCCTTTCAAGCTTGTTTTAGTCCCTGAACTTGATTTCCCAGGACCTGTCGCATTTTTGTAATTTTTTCCCCAAGGTGATCTGGCCGACTCCAGAAGACACCCAGCCATCCTCGGTGCCCCACCGTTTCCTTTGCATCTTATCTGGGCAGATTTCAGCACTCTGGTGGCTTCAGGCACATCCTGTTGCATACACTGAGACACGGGCAGCAGTACTGCCCAGACTCAGCCAGTGGTAGTTCCGAGGGTTCCTGCCCCAGTGCGCTTCAGCTTGCCCGTCCGAAAGGAGCAGAAGCTTCTGTTCTTACCAGGCACTTTCACAGTGATCTCTCCTAATCCTCACAACAGTTCTGTGAAGGCAGGGAGGTGCTGTCCTTATTTTCACAGCGGAGGAAACCAAAGCTCTTGGATTGTGTGTGTGTGACGTACGTGGGTCGACTGGTTTCTAAGGCTGTGAGAAGCGTCTCTGCCCCCCTGACTGGCACCTGACTCTTCATAAGCAGACAGCTATGTGAAGAAAGCCTCCATTGTGGTTAGGCACCAGGAAGTGTGGCGCTGTCTGGCAGCAGCCTTCCAGGTAGCCTGCACTGGACAAGGCTGGGGAAGCCAGACTCGAGACCAGCTGCCCTCTGCTCAGGGAACGGCTGAGGCCTCGGCTCCTATCAACAAGTCCACCTTTCCCAAGTGCTACTCATTTCCTTGGGCAGAGAGAGTGTGATGGAAAGCACTGCCCCTTTGATCACAGGAGGCAGCAGAGTCTGGCGCCAGCCACCTGTGCAGGTCAAGAGATCCAGCCTCACAGAAGGGTTGCTCAAAGAAGAGTCACAGACTCAGCTTTGAGCCTCAGAAGGGGCACAACACTTCCTTACAGTTAGGTCCGGTCCAGTAGGAGTGCTTGTCAGACATGCTTAGGGTTCAGGAAAAACAGTTAACATGCTCTTATTAAAGACGCTTTGTCTTTTCAGAGTCAAAGCAGGTAGGCAGAATGGTGGGAGGGGGTAGAAATAGAAGCACGAAACAACATCCTGGAAAAATACAACCCCAGATGGAATAATGTCACCCTAGCAAATACAGATAACTGGGACTTGCTGCCAGCAGCATGATGCCTATCTGTTCAGGACGGGCTCAGAAAAATTCAAATGGTGTGACCTTCCGGTACTAGATCAGCCTTCACCAAAATCTCTAGAGGAGAAAGCAGCAGAGAGGAAATTGGCTTCTCTTTGGGGACTGCAATTGAAGAAGTAAAAAGTGACAGATATTTGCACTTTGTAGAAAGGGCAAGCTTATTTGCTTATTTCTGAAGGGAGAAAAGTGGTCTTGCTGGATGTTTGGTCTGTGAGTTACTTTTGATAAGATTAATTGTAGTTATTTTTCTGTGTGCTTTTTTTAATTACTAAGAAAAATTGGTGAGTTCAATAGCTTTGGTATTTTGAATGCAAATCATAATAGCTCCAATGTGAAAAAAATCAAAGTGTAACCTGTCAATGTTAGAAAATTGCCTAAAATGCAACTTAATAAATGATCTTTGTACCAAATGGTAATTTAAATGGGGTAATTTTCTGCAAGGAAAATGTACTGTTTTTATGTTTCCAACCCTCTTGAATTAAAATAAAAGCAACTTGTTTTCTAAAAGCCCGGGTGATATGAATGTCAGGCTAAAGAGACAGGCCTCCACCTTACTGGGGCTTGGATAGAATTTTTAAAATGTGGAAGGTGGCTGTGTTCTCTGAGCTCTGGTGCTCATTTCAGCCAGCAGAAAAGGACAGTGGATAGTATGTTCTCATTGACGTCAGCAGAGTAAATAATACCTTGCTCTGAATCGCCTGAGTACACGTTAGCCACTGCAGATCGCTGACGGAAGCACTGCTGGCCACAGCCTGCACATGGACAGGGCCCCACTGGGCCTAATTAATGCTCCTTGATCTTAAGTCCCAGGGCAAAGCCCATCCGCCTAGGCAGTTCAGGCAGGGGCCTTCTGCCATGGTAGGAGGAAGGCAAGCTGTACAGGAGTCATGTCCACTCCTCCAAAATAGGCAAGCAGGAGGCCAGGGTGAGATGGGGAGAGGAAGTTCTCTAGTTGTCAGGTCAGCTAAAAAGACTGCTACGTAGAATCTGTCCCTTCTCTGGGGTCTGCCGAGCACTGGATGCACATGGGCACACACGAGATCAAGACAAACACACACACACACACCATGCACTCCTCCCAGGGAGAGGCATCCTTTGAGGCCCAACTCCAAAGCCCTCAGGGTGCTGGGGAATCTGTCTGCCAAGCTATTACTCATTCTGGACTCTTGGTAGTGCCAGATCCTGAGTATAAGGGCAGACTAAATCCTACTTCCTGGCAGCGAGTTCAACTGAGATTTAGTTTTGCTCCGACCATCCCCCGGAGCGCCTGCTGTGAAAGTCACACAGTTCCCACACACAGGAACCATCAGCTGGCTGCAGGTGGGCCTGGAGGGAGCTGCGGGCCACATCTGCCTGGCTGTGCAGGGCCAGAGAGCAGCCGCCCTCGTTCTGTACTGCAGCACTGCACACTGCCACTCACAGTTGCCGGTCCCTGGCCTACACAGCTTCTACCACAGGACTCCCTAAGAACACTGGCACTGGGGTGCCCTCCCCCACCCTGTAACTATGTTTTGCAAACTTTTGTCTTTCCACCAAATCTCACCATCATTTTAAATGTGCTGTCAAAATCAACCCCAGTGGCCCAGGGTTCAGGGGACATAACAGACTTGCTAGTGGACACCATCGAGCAGCTCGGCAGCCAGTCGAGTCCTAGCACGCCCTTCCCAGGAAGCCTTCAGCGCTGCTTGGACTTGCTGATGCCCCTGTGCTTTGCGAGCAAATGCTCTGCAGCGAGAGCAGAGGGTCAGGCACGGAACCAGCCCGAAGTGCCTGCAATTCCGGTGTCCATCAGCGAGCCCCGCCTCGGGTTTGCCCAAGATTCTGTTCCTCTCCGGTCCGGGTTTGGGATCGTAGGTCCCCTCGTGCACTGAAACACCCTTAGACTCTTCCCCCCAAAACACCTTCATAGATGCAGGGAACACAGTCTCCAGGGAAGAGTTGGTTCCTGGTTCCACTCAAGGACAGAGATTAAGAACCCCTGCCTTAGCCTTTATGCTTTTGAGTTCAGTCTTAAAGAGGCCCTTTATTTTTTTTTAATTTGAAAAAACCACCAAAAACCCTAAAAACAATGATACACAGTTATGCAGAGGGCATTCTCATCTGACCCCTGGTAGACCCTGCCTGCAGGAGGCAGCTGTGGGCTCTGCACTGCATCGAGTCCCGAGTCCTGTGCGACGATGAAGGAAGTGTTACCTACGGAGCACAGCTGTTCCTCCCTGGGGGCGGATGACAGCACAGCTGTCCTCCCATTCTGGCTCCTTCAAAAGCCACGGAAGGATGGAGTACTGTGTGCAGAACACACGGGGCCGTGTCCGTGGGGAAACCATGGGGGCCCGACTCAGGAGACTGGACCCTCACTGCAGGCCTAGGGCCATCACTGGCAAAGCTACCGCCACCTAGTTATGAAGGGAAGATGACAAGTCTGAGGACAAACTCGAGGTCAGGCAGAACACGAGCTTGCTGTCTCCAGCCACAGGTCTTTTCAGGAGGCTTCTGCTGTGACACCCCAAGCAAGCATGGAAGCTGAACCCCTCTGCACCTACAGCTGCCAACGCCCTCTGCTGTATCAATGCCTCCCTTTGTGTGTCCATGGGGCTTTCCTAAGGATGACGAATCACAGGCCTGACACTGCCAAGCAGACTTTCCAAGCCTTGGTAAAACAAGCAAGGTGCCTGAGAGAGGGGAAGACAGTGCACATTAGGAGTGGACTTCCCCTGGAGCCAAGCCCGAGCCGGCTGGGCAGAAATCGAGGCCCAGGGAAAATGAGGCATTAGGGATGCAGCTCCTGAAGGGGGAACTGAGTCATCGCTCCTCAGATAGCTTTGAAGTTTCTGACTCAATCTCCCCCTCACCGTGCCCCAAATATGGAATAAGAGAGTCTGAGATGCCCAAAAGAGGTGGAGTGAAAACCACCCCAAGGCTGCCCAGTGAGACGGGGAGGGGAGAGGACACAACTGAAAACACAACAACAAAACCCCTGTGCCTTTCCTCAGAGCGCACAATGTTCAAGGTCATCTATTCTTCAGTCTGGGACCCACTGGAACTGCTGTAGGTCACCAAAGAACTCTCATGTTTAGCAAGGAGTCTTTGTACCTGCAAAGTAAGTGCCAAAAGAGCAGGCAGGGGGGCCCAGGAGTGAAAAGCCATGCAAGAAGCAAAGCTGGGAAGAACAGGGCCTTGCTCCCCCGAGTCCGGGGCGGCCGCACAGCCAGAGAGGCAGCCGGGAGGCAGCACTGAACCTCTGACCAAGACTTCAATCCTGTGACACTGCCAGTTCTGCCCCTGAAGAGGCCCTCAGCATAAAGGCTCATTTCCAACAGTAACCTGGGAAAGTGGCTGACAATTCCAGGTTTATCAGCCTGGCACAGTGCTGCCCTCGAATACGGAAGTGCTCACAGGAGCCACCAGCCCCCGATGGCACAGTGCCCACTGTCGGCCCTAGCACTAGCCTAGCAAACATGGCTATGGACTCTCCTCACAGATTTAAAGGTGGTGCTCTATTCTCAACACTCGCTCCTGGTTTAAGAATGAAGAACTTTGCACCAGGATTTTTGAATTTTCAGCTGAGTTCTGGGCAGCCCCAGCCCTGAGCTCAACACACACAAGACTATCCAGGAGATTCTGTGTCCCATATGAAAGGCCTCTTGGACCCCGATTTCCAGGTCAAACTCCTAGGTGGAGAGCAGTCACAACGCCTGAGTCTTCTGCGTGGGAGCTCCTTGGTCTCAAAGTCCCCAGCTGTGAGAAAGTACACACAAGAGTCTGGAGTCCAAGGAAAACCGCCTCAGCTGACCCTGTGACCAGCCTACTTCTGACCTCTTTGTGGCCTTTGGGACCCAAGTCCCTTAGCTGGAGGGCCTCTAGAGATAGGATCACGTATCCTGAGGCCTTGGTCCTCTGGACTTGGGCCTCCTAGTCTTCCGGATTGAAGAGAATTAACCCTCTGGCCGAGGCAGGCCTTGGGCTCCTCAGAGTTCATCACCATTGGGCAGCACCTATCCCTACTCAGCTGAGGGATGGCTCACGTCCCTGAGCAGAATGGCTCCGACCTCCGGCTGGACAGAATGCCTCAATCGCCAGCAAGTACGTTAGATTCAGAGATGCCAGCAGGTCCCAGTAACTCTGAATTGGAGCGAGTACAGTGAACACAGAAAGAAAGAAAAAGCAATGGAACTCAGAGTAGACAGAGCAAGGGAGGCAGAGGTGCAGTCTTCGCCAAGACTCCGTGTAAGGACTGGGTTCTAGTCAGTGTCTGAACAGCGAGGAGCATGCAGACGGAGGAGGAGGGTACAATCTGCAAGCCAAGGTCCACAACCATTATTTACAGATGCTCCACTTGATTTGAGCCTCCAAACCTGGGCTCGGCAAGGAGGCCGAATGTCCCTCACAGCTGCTCCTTCCTGCAATAACAAGACTGACATCACTGTTGTCAGGGAAATGGTGTTTTGATTAAAATCATGTGACAGCTACTTAGTGATTCAATAAACAAATCCCCTTAACCCTTGTCTGACAGGCCTGTCAACAGCTCTGCTGTCAGAACACAGCTGGGCTGACCTGGGGGTGGCAGTGAGCGGCAAGTGGGCTTCGGCTCGCTAGCAGATCCTGTGTGAGGGATGCATGTGTCACCTAGTGCACAGGCGGCTCTCTGCAGGCTTCCAGAGTCCATCTCCAAGGCACTGAGGAAGCTCCTCCACCAGGAACCTGTTCTCCCGTTCTGGGTGCTCCCCCCAAACTAGGCAGCAGGCATAGCTGAGTGTCAGATGGCTCCCCTGGGGCCCCAGGCTGACCAAGAATCAAGGACAGTCCCCAGGGCTGCCACACTTCACTGCTCACTCACCTACCAGGAGACTGATGAGTTTGCTGTGCACCACGGCCAGTGAGGAGTTAAGCACAATTCTGATTTGCAATTGGATGACTTCCTGGATCACTCACTTGGCTGCTGGCCCTTCACACACAGGGCTCTGCCTGGCAACAGCCAATTCCCTTTTCCATCTCGCACTCTGGTCATTTTCCTCATGTGAAACACATGCAGGGAAGGCCCCCTGAGTCACTGGGCAGGGGATTTTTCTGGGATGAATGCCCTGCAGCCTCAGAGGCCTAAAGCAGCTGGTTCAGGACCACCTGACATAGAGATGGCAATACCCACTGCCCAGCTTGTGAGGATTCACTGAGACTTGATCCAGGTGCTACAGCTGCTGAGGCTCAAGGAACGGCAGACAGCACTGTCCTAGCCTCCGAAGCTGTCCAGGCTGAGCCATGGCAAGCGCTTCAAAGATCAGTATGCAGACCAGACAGATACTGCGAGCTTAACAGGAGGGTCAGATGCTCCTGAATTTGCCGGGAAATATAAATGCTTTCTTCCTTAAGAAGTGTCAGGTTTATGCCTAAAATAAATGTAGCTGTTCTCAGTCCTTCAGCCAAAGTCTCTTCCCTAGGGCCAAGTTCTAGGAAGTGGACAAACTGACCCAAAGGTCATCCAGGAGCCTCTTGGGCTGTGAACAGCAGTCACTGAGCACTTCCTCCTGCTGCACAACCACTCCCAAGCGCCGGGGGCCCAGGTGCCTGGCAGCGCAGGCCCAGGATGACAGTGTGCAGCACCACAGAAGGGCGAAAGCACTGAGTTAACCTCCCCTGTTTAGGGCCTGCAGGACAGGAAAAGCAAGTATTTGTTTTCCGGGATTTTGTTTACGGCTGGGGGGACTAGAGGTTTACACTGGCTGGAGACACCCTCTAGCACTGGCGCTGCACCTCGGCCTTTTCCTTAGGGCTGCCCTAGAGGCCCAAGCTGCGTCTGAACTTGGACTTTGTGATCTGCCTGCTTAAGTCAGGGTGAGAGCAATGTGTACCTTGATGCCGTTTTATATTCAAATTTTCATCATGAAACTGCCAAACTTTTCCCAATGAACTGAATGTAGCCTGACATCAGTAACAGATGACCAATCCCACTGGCGCTCCTATTCTGAATGTACTTCTAAGTCATAAACTGCCCTTCTTTCTACTCAATGGGGTAGACTAATCCTTGACTAACCATGCCTTGCCCTCAGCAGTCCTCAAAAGGACGACCCCTGGGGCCATGGCCAACACCAACTCTGCTGAACTGGACCTTTTATACCCCTTTTCCATGCAGTGGCATCAAATGGGGCTTGTGATTGGCATGCATAAGGGCCCCATGCATATTCAGATTGGCATGCATAAAAACTGCACACAAGATTTTTATTTTGAAAATGACTAAGAGGAACTGTGGCAAATAACAGACAAATTGGAAACCCATTTCTACAAGTGACTCTTCACTAATCACCCCTTTAGTGACACATGGGTGTCACTGTCTAACAAGGGGACACAGGAACCTTGACAGGCCTCATGTTGCAGGGGCAGAGACAGACACTGACCCCCACCACCACCCCACAAAGCATTCACAAAACAAAGAAGCCAAACAGAAGAGGCTTTGAAAGCTCATTCTCCTGGCTCTTAAAACCAGCTGTCTTCCCTGAACAGAGCAGGAAGTGCTGTCCCTGCCATCCTGCTGCAGCTCCCTGACACACCAGACCACACTGGCTGCCCTCAGGGCTGGCCCCAGATTTCTGAGGTCTTACCTTCCCTGTGTCCTCTCCAGCCATTCCAGGTCTCAGAAAGTGGTTCTTGTCAGGCCCAGGGGCGCAGTGCTCTTCACTGTCCTTCCCAGGAAAATCTAGTTTCCTCAGTCTTTGTGCCATCACTAGAGACAGAGACAGCAGGGTCGTGACTGTCTCTGACCAGGACTGTCCCTCTCCTACCCACCCGTGCTTGTCAGGATGCCCTCGGGGATGGGAGCCCAGCAACCTACCAGAGCATGAGCCCGACACAGAAAGCCAGCTCTCTCCAGGACTTGACTAACCATGCCTTACCCTCAGCAGTCCTCAAAAGGATGACCCCTATGTGCCTTAGGGAGCCCGCTTAAGGGTCCCCCAAACATTGGTCACTGACAGCCTTCAGAGTCCAGAACAAACTAAACACCCAGCTCCTTTCACAACTGATGGTATTAGTTTAAGACAACTATTCTGGATAAAGCAGGACTTGGCATATCCACCCAATGAGTAATTATACTCTTCATCCTCCAGACTTCCATTTCAACTGAACATTATGTAATTTCCTGGAAACAGCAGCCTTGTGGAGGCAAATGGGGAATACTCAAACTATTCTAGGTATGGAGGTGGACTGGAGACATGGGAGGGAACCGGGGAGAGGAGCATTAAATTGGGTTGAAACCAAATGCTAGAGAGCCAATGCAAAATAATCGAAGAAGCTGACAATCATGTAATCTGTCAACCAACAAAACTATGTCATAGGGCCTTCTCCTCTACACTTTCATATCCAGGTTTTAAAACTACTGAAAGAAAGAAAAGTGTCTAAGGAATTTACCAAAAAGCAAAACGGACAGGCACCCAACTTGTTTGATCACCCTGCCCTGTCATTCCTGGAGGATTGGAACCAATGTAATTCTACAGAAAAATACTATGCTATCCTTCAGCTCAATGACAACACAGCAGTTAATAAAGGGGACAACACTGCAACAAGCAACCACCTGTCCAGAAATGACATGCCTGTTTCCCATGGAGGTCTGCGTGAGCATCCTGGATACTTGAAAGAGGACTCAAAGGTCAGGCTGCTGCTTCTGTTGAGCCAGAACAAGTTGTCCAGCAAAGAATCCCCCAGGTCCTGAGTCACAGAAGCCAACCTGTGACATTTCCGTGAGCTGAAGGGTGCCCTTTATTTCAGTAAGGCCTCATTTGATACTATACACTAGTCTATTATTCTTATTTAAAAAAAAAAAAAAAGACACACCTTTGGGTTTGTATCTCCTTGGCAGCACAGAGAAACAAGAGCTGACCTCTTACGCCCATGAAGTTTAAACTCCACACAAATTATAGAAAGAAACACTAAGGTGAATTCCATTACTGACGAAGACATTTTTATTAGCATATATTGTGTCTTAGCTTCACTTTCCTAACAAACCAAATAATGGATACAAGCTGCCTAAGATGAAAAACAATAGTAATATATGTTTGAGGCAATCAGACAAATTCAAAAACAATTATTCCCTGAGCTGAAGAACTGGAAAAGGGCCACATGTAGTCTGTTTCCTAAGAAAAGAAAAATCTTTAATTTGTGTCCATGTGAGATGGAGGTAAGTCGGTGTCTTTGATGACTGTTCCAGGCATTCATAAGATGACAGACTTCAGAAATACATTCATTGAACATTTCTATGGAGCATATTACACTGAACAAGGCACTGGAAATACAGGAAATAACTCAACAAAAATGCTTGCTCTCAGAACTCCTAAAATTTGTATTTTAGAGAAATTAAGTCAGGATAAAACTGTGCTATGTGTGATGGTGAACACCTGTAATCCCAGCACTGTGGGAGGCTGGGGCAGGAGGAATGCAAATTCAAACCCAGCCTGGGCAACTTACTGAGACGTTGTCTCCCAAACAAAAAAAAACTCTTGGGAGCATAGCTCAGCGTTAAGGCCCTGAGTTCAATCCCTATACTGAGGGAAAGACAAAGGCAAGTAGTCATGCAGGCTGGTGCACCATATAGTATTTGCAAAGCTAAACAGAAAACTGAGCAGAGGATTTAGCTTAGCAGCACGAATGCCTTGGCAAATGCAAAGTCTTGAGTTCTACCCTGATATAAAAAGAAAACTTAATGGAGTCCAGGTATCTGAGAGCAGCTTGGCAACACAGTGACCCCATGTTTAAAGAAAAGGGAAACAAGTATGTAGGAAAATGGTTGTTATAACCCAAAGAACAACTCTTCTCAACAGTAACAAAGGAGATCGTGCTGAGCTCTACAGCCCATGACTGAAAAAGCAGTGCTTTAACAGTCAGAACTAAACTAAACACACGGGCTCCCCAGTAGGGAACACAGAAAGTTTCATGTCTCTCCCCAAACCAACAGCATTTCTAACCAAACAAAGCAATGGTTCTAGTGCAAATCTCTTTCAAGGACCAAGGCAACAGTCTCTCAAACATGAAATTCAAGAAGAACATAACCTCCAGGAATTTTTCTAAAAGACATAAAACTAAAACTTTACAGCATAATAGTTTAGGGTATTAAAATGAGAATGTAGGAAAGATTTCTGCTTACAAAAATACTTATTCCTTGTCCCAATAAAACAGAAATTTAGTACAAGGTAATTTTACAGTTTAAAATACAGAATATTTAAAATTCCTCTTCTGTTTTTCTAAAGTAAGACAACTTCAAAGTATTTAGTCAACTTGGTTTTATGCAACTGTTTAATGTACACAGTTTTACAGAAGTCTTTGGGTCTTCACAAAACACAACAGAGCTTATTAGATTTAAAAGAACTTGTGAATGAAATCCACAATTCAAAAGCCAAAATGGAAACATCAAAATACATAGCAAGATGCAATGAGAGAAAATATCAATAAACTACAATAACTAAAAGTCTTTGGAGACAGGTGTGGTCACATACATCTGTATCAACACTCAGGAGGCAGAGGCAGGAGGACTGCCACATGTTTGAGATCAGCCCAGGGCTACACAGTGAGTTCAAGGCCAGCCTGAACTATATAGCAAGACCTGTAGCCAAAAAAAAAAAAAAGGGAAGAAAGAAATTAAAAAATAAATAAATACATAGAATCCAAGATGCCTGTAATCCAAGCACTTAGGAGGCTGAGGCAGGAGGACCACTGCAAGTTCAAGGCCGGCCTGGGCTACAAAGTGAGTTCAAGGACAGCCTGAATTACACAGCATAACCATGTCTCAAAAAAGACCAAAAAAAAAGTCACTAAAAACACACAGTGAGGTTGATGATGTGATAACATGAAACATGCATAAATTTTTAAGAAACAATATTTAAATTTCCTATGAAATACAAATGTATATATTTCCAAGACAAAAAACATACTGAATTCATTAAAACAATACAACAACCCCTCAGATACACATCTTCATGGCTAGCATGTGATACAATTGAAGAGTGATTGGTAAGTACCGTGTCACTAGGTAAAATGGGTGCTTTCAAAAGACAGCACTGGAATTGTTTAGTTCAGTGTTCCACAGCTACTACAAATGTTTCACAAAGCCTTTGGCTTAACCCAGTATCCTAAATTTCAGAAGAAATTACTGAGATTCTACTGTAAAAGTAGAAAACCAAGTATTTTAAGTAAGATTCCAGTATTATTCACACCAAAAAATTAGCAATGAAAGTTCAGTTTGGAAAACTACTGTACAAGGTAGCAATGACAAATGCTAATTCCGCTGAAGCAGAGCCGGTAAAGAATAGGAAATCCACATACTATTACCAGCAGTTCCTAAGAGTCAAAAGACAAAACTGCAATGTTATTAATGACACAGTAAAACTTCCACTTATTAGGAAGCATGAAAGTTCCTTAGGAGAAAAGAATAAATTTTGGAAGTCTGGCCCAGTTTTAACATTTCAACATCACATGCTAGCTGCAACATCCATCCAGCCATCTGGCTTCTCAATGACATGATTATAGTCACAACTGAAGAAAAGGAAAGTAACCCATACACTAACCCAGAGCTTCCAACTCCCAGTTCACGTGAGATACTGATGCAGATCATCTTACTCCAGGAAAACGGCTTTCACTACAGTCATTTCTCAATGATCTCCCAAGTAGAGAATTTAGAAAGTAAGTTATTATACACCATGTACCTTTAATTTTAGAATGGAGAGGCACACAGATATATGTAAACAGTAAAAGAATCATTCCACTTCATCTATCGATCCAAACCATCCAGGCTTTATCTGGAATATTAAGCAGCTGGCACCTGACCAATAGTGAGAATGTAAGAGCCCAGATGGTGCTAGAAAACCTAGAGAGACAATCAAGAGATGACTGTACCAAGTATCAGGAACTGGGCAGTAAGAATAGCTTAAATAATTATGCCAACACAAAGGTGAGGGAAAAAAACAATCCTTTTTCATCTTTAGAAAAAAAAAAATCACGTCATTGAAATTTGACTTTAAGCAGCTGTCATTTGCTTGGATGTAGTCTTGAAGGTTTCCCATTTTTGCTGCACCCCATTTAAGAAAATATTCCCTAGAATCTGTGTTAAGAATTTAGTGAAGGCTTCTCTCTCCTGTTCCTCATTATGCCAACGCAAGAACTGGAAAATTCCAAACAAAATAGGTTAATAGTACAGAAAATTCATGAATGATAAATCTACATGAACATTAAACCATGTAACAATGATCCAAATACGCAAGACCAAAATCTTTTCATTACTATCAGTTTCTTCATTCTTCCAGACTAATCAATAGCTACACTTTAAAAACTTAAGCCCAAACTAAAACTGCTTTGCCAATAAGGTTCATAATGCTTCCCCATCTTAGACATGAACTAAAAAAAAATGGCTTTGCTCACTCAGGATAGAGTGCTAGATCAAGAGGTTCCTAACCACAGAGGGGCCCCAGTATTCCACGAATTTCCTATCCCCATTTCTCCTCCTGCGTGTCACCCTGACCAATCCCCACTACTCACACAGCAAAGATGAATCTCCCTTCAAGTCAGAAAACGGAAATACATACCACTTATAGCTTCCTGTGCAAAATATTTGACATCCATGTCTTCATCTTGACCTAACTTCTGTAATACCAGTTTAACTTCCCCCTGCAAAGCACTAAAATTCAAAAGTATTATCTGTGAAAAGCAGTCTCATGTACCAGAGAAATCTCTTTGATACACATGCTTTCAGGTATTATCTGTAGGCTCTACTGATAACTTTTAAAGCTTAAAATAAGAAATATTTTTAAACACTTATAAACTTGGAAAATACTCTAAATAATTTCCAAAGTCCTTAGCAAAATTAGCTTTGAACAATGATCTGCATATACACAGAGTTTTAATATTGAAGAGTGGACATCCTCAAAAAATGGTTGTTCAAATATTTGTTTTTAAATCCTTATCTATGTAAAGTGAGAATCACTGAACTTAATTTTAGTTATTACTCCCCACTATAAGGTCACAGTTAAAATACACTTTTAACAATAACACTAAAATCTTACTCAGTGTCTAGAAGTGGCCCAATTTTTTGAAGCGATTTGGCCACATTGAAACGAACATTTGCTACTTGATCTCCTGCCATTTTTAATACGATGGGCAGCATTTGCTTAGTGGTTATTTCCCGACCACAGGCTTCAGACAGTGCCTGGAAAAATAAACAAGATGGCACACTTAAAACATTTTTTTTTAAAATTCTGAAATCTAGCAAGACAAATCAATATTTCATAAGAAAATAACTGACCAACAGAAAACTATTTCTAGTTTAAGCATCTAAATTTAGAGATACACATGTAGCATTCAAAAATCAGAACTAGATCAGAATTCACAACTAAGCTGCAACTTTTAAAGTACTACCAAAAATTTTAGCATGAACTTTTTTTTGGTACTGAGGATCAAACTCAAAACCTCATGCCTGCCAGCCAGGTACTTACAGCACTAAATCCCCAGCTACAGCAAGAATTTTAAAATCACCATTTTCTCTTATCTCTTACATTCTAAACTAATCAGCATAAAAATATATTGCAAATGGAAAACTGTGTATTTCAAAATTCAGAAATTCTTGTGCTAATGGTAAGTGCTTTAATGCCTGAGCCAACAAAATACTTACATTAATGCAGAACAAAGTGGTCATTCTATGCAAGTAATTAGGATCATTTGCCATTACCAGCACTTTTGGAACTATGGTATTTTGAGCCCACTCTGTACCAAACTTCTGAACTAATTTCATGAGGTTGTTGGTGGCAGCTTCTCGGATGGCATACACTGCAGAAGAGGTCAAGAGCACAGCCTCGTTTGACTTACATCAACATAAAATGTTGGCCAAACACACAAGCACAAGAATGTTCATGCACAATTCATACTAACTTATTAACAGTTCTGAAATACTTATTTTTGAGGAAAAGGGATGTTAGGATTTTGTTCTATATATCACCAATTAATTAACAAACAGAAGTACCTATTAGGTTCTATGCATTACAGAAAAAGACACTTGCCCTCAAAGATCATGTACTCGGGATGGGGCTGTAAACCACTTGCCTACTATGCACACAGCCTTGGATTCAACATCCTGTATCAGGAAAAAAATCATAAACTCTATGTACTCTTATCAGAAAAATGAGAGCTAGGATACTCCAGAAAGTGTAGGACCAGTTAACACAAAGTGCAGCACAGTATAGTAAAGACTGGTGACTCATAGTTTGGGTTTAAAGAAGGAACAAGGGAGCTCTGGGAAGGAGGCACTGCACGGGTGATGAAGACAAGGAGGATCTGCATCAGTAGAGGGAAGGGGGAGGAATTCCTGCAAAGGAAAAATAAAAACTATCCAGCACAAAAACAAAAACACCTGAATCTGTAAGACTGGAGAGTTAGTTAGAGAAGGTGCAGACCACTGAACACTTTGAAAGATCAATTTAAGTAGGGTGTGGTGGCACACACCTGTAATCTCAGCACTCAGGAGGTCTGCCATGGGTCTGAGACCAGCTTCGGATACAACAGTGAGTTCAAGGCCTAGTCTGAACCGCAGAGTGAAACTCATCCCAAAACAGAAAACAAAACTCATCCCAAAACAAAAGTTAAATTTATGCTTGATAAGAGAAATAAAGCGTTTTTTACAAGCAAATGTGTGGCCTGATGACAAATGTTGTATTTTGACAAGCCTGTCCAGCAATGATAAAGAGAATAGCTAAAGAGAAGTTGTCGGGGAGATCCTTCAGAGGACACTGTGGTCATTTACCCACCACTAAATAAAAACTTGGTACCAACTTGCTTCTTTTCTATTAAAAATGTTTAGGTGGAGACAAGATGTTGAATGTCTTCTGTAAATAAACGCACCTCCCTTAACATCTAATAATTCCCTATAAAACCACTTATCAAAGACATCATTAATCTAGATCACAAAGGTCTGAGCTATTATCCTGACACAATTAGTTGTTATGCGCATTCAGGAATAGACAAACTTTTACTTCACTTCACAGGTCCAGAAAGTCTCAAACTTTGGGTTTAATGTAACACATAAGGCTGGCAGGTACTGAGGCCTCACTCTGCTTCTCTCTCCAAGCAGACCCAACATTTAAGGATCTACTTACTGTAGGACAGGGGTCCAAGCCATAGCCCTGAACCTAATGGCAGTAACCCATGGCCCAAGTGCCACAGCCCCAGCGGGCTCTTTGTATCACTGAAAGCCATCACTACCCAGGACTATAAAAGGCTCCAGCGAGGAAACACCCAACTCTTCTCAATATATGGACGCCTCTGGGCAGTGAAGTGAGGAAAACAGCAAAGACAGCACAGCCAAGTAGCAGCCCAATTTCTCACCCGTGCTTAAAATCGCCCGAATCTCTGAGCAGCACCTCATTAAGATAACCCAGAAGCACTCTCCAAGGAGCAAGCGCAAGTCGCCATTTTACCAGACAGACACATTCTTTCCTTCCTATGTTCCTTTCTTTTCTGGTACCAGGAATGGAACTCAGGACCTTGAGCTTACCAAGAACTGTGCCTCGGGGCTATATTCCCATCCTTCAGTCTTTAAACCCAAATCCCTTCCTGGCTCTTCCCTTTAAAGTGGCATCTGTGTTTCTTCCTCTACTCACCGTTTTATAATACACTTGAGATTTTTCTCATGAAGGCCATTACTATAGAAAGGGAGCATAACTAGCAATCAAGCACGTACGTACTTAAGCCTTGGCACAGACCTTAACTGCACTCAACTCTACGTGGCCAGATGTCTGCTATCTTCTTAGCTTCTCTCAAGTCTGTCGAAAAATGCAAACTACTTCACAGTCCTGCCTGTTTTTTCTACTTGTTTTGTCTGTCTGTCTCCCCTACCCCTCAAGGTCTGGCTTGTCTCTTAAGGTTTCTTTATATCTAACTATTAACCAGGGGGAAATTTTTTCAAAAAAAAATCAGTGATCACAATATAACACTTAAAATATTCAAAAGCAACGTTTTTCTTCAAACTATAAAACAACAAAAATCCTAAAATAAAACACAACAGCAAAATAAAAAATCCCTATGATCTATTAACAAAGCAACTGCCATTTCACTGGTTCAAAGAATTCTTACAGCTCACACTTTGGTATGCTGCTGCATTAAAGGAAGAATCTCTTCTCAAATTGGAAGAAAATAATCCGAAGTGAGGAAGGAGTAACTAAAGTAGCTTAGAGACAGCAATCTAATTAGACAGCTGTCAGGAATTTAATTCTTTGTAGCATTTTAGAACTTAAAAATTCCCCAAACTAAACTGTCTTCACCACTTAGCAGTTTACCCCAAGCAGAAACTATCCTGAACATCATTGGGGTGGAGTTGACTCTAGTTTTGAGTGAATGTGAAAAGAATATTTTTATATTTCCTGTTAAGTTACCACATAAAAACTAACAAACAATATGCAATTTTTGGTCATCCTGTATTTAAACTATTGGAATGATAAGTGGTTAATCCAGAATGCCAGCTTTCAAAGCAGTACAAAATGATCTGCTGGCATGCCATTCCCACCAACAATATTGATGGGAAATAACGTAAATATTTTTTTAAATGGAAAAAAAAAGTCATTTCTTTCCTATGATTTGCAAATTTTAAGTTTTATTTGAAGAGATAACTTTAAAGAAAAAAATAGAGAAGTAGTCTTTCAATCTAGTTTGAAACACTGGAAGCACCCTCCCCATACACATGCCCTAACAGACTAACACAGTATTTACTTTTCACACTGGTAACCATATGAGCTCCCACATGATACTTCACATGTGTTGCAGGAAGGAGGGGGTTTATTTTACTGAGCGTTGAACTCAGCCTTTACACTCAGCCACATCTGCAGCTTTTTCTTTTTCTTGGAGATAGGTTCTCACTATGTAGTTCAAGTTGGCAATGAGCTCACCATGTAGCCCAAATGGCCTGGAACTCACTCCAATTTCCCTGCCTTGTCTTCCTGAGTGCTGGGATTACAGGTGTGTGCCTATAATGCCCAGCTTCTTTGTATTTACCGAGACAGGGCCTTGTTCACATCACTGAATTATTCAGGCTGCGTTCAAACTCTCAATCCTCCTGTCTGAACCTCCCAGAGTACTGAGATTACAGGCATTCACTATTATGCCCCGCACTCAAAACCACCTACATAAGCAGACACAAGCATCCTCATTCTTTGCAATTACCCAGGCATAATCACTCACGAACAAACAAACTCAATACATATATAAAGCATATACAGGATACTGTGAAACTCAAACAGCATGCTTATCAAATCCACCAAAACATGGAACAAACAGCAAACCCACTTAGGACAGGTCTAAGGTCACACTGAAGATGCCAAGTTTGCTTCTGGACCTAGCTGAGGGTATATCTTGTACCCACTGATGGTCTGGCAGACAAAAGAATATAGACACACTGCATGTCTACCTGAGATCTCTTAAGAGGTCATCTGCTCATTCCTGTGTCCTCTCTGACACAAAGCCACCCTCTCCTCGCCCTGTGGTGGCAGCAGCAGCCGCAGAGTGAGGGAGCAGGAAGTGAGTCTTCTTTTCCCTCTTTATCTCAATGCACGCCTGACTCTCCCGCTCCTAAGAACCTGTACTGCACTGCCCTGCAAGGAGGTACAGCCTCCTCCTCTATGTCACCAACTTGCTATGTCCTTCCATCCAGCCAGGCCTTTCACTTGATTTCAATCTATGTGTATCCCTACAGTTACTGAATACACTAATGACACCATGGCAAGCGGAAAACTCTGGGAATAAGGAAGTATATTAACAGACAGCCTGAAGGTCAGATGATACAGTAAATAAGAAACAATGCAAAGAGATTATTTAATGAAGAAAATAAACTTACGTTAGAAAAAACAGTGGGGCATCACGGTAAAGGCATGTAATCTGGCGCTTTGGGAGGCTGAAGCAGGAGGACTGCCGTAAGTACAAGCCAGCATGGACTACACAGCAAGACCACATCCCAGGGGAAAGAAAAAAGGCTGGGTATGGTGGCATATACCTGTAATCCCAGCACTTGGGTGGCAGAGGTTGGGGGATTGCTATGAGTTCAAGGCCAACCTGGGCTACAAAATTAATTCAAGGGCAGCCTGAATTACATAGCAAGATCCTATCTCAAAAAGACAAAAAATAAATCACAATTTTAAAAAAATGAAATTTAATCAAAGACTTTATTTTTCCCTATATTGTTAAGGCAAAATATGTGGTCAGATCAGGATTTTTTTCTAAAAGGAAATGAACACCATGAGAAATGCAAAAACATGGGTCTTCTATAATACTCTGTTTTGAATTTATCTACTCACCGTGGTCTACAAGCCAGGCCATGCATAAGGAATTCAGTTTTTCATCAAAAAATTCCATACCCTACAAACATAAAAAGTTTGATTAGCACACATCTCCAAAGTTTAGAAATCAAGATGCCCTATCTTCCTCCCTATCAGCTTTTTGAGACAGGGTCTTAGTATGTTGTCCAAATTGGTCTTAAACTCACTATACAGCCTAGGTTGGTCCCAGACTCTTGCCTCACACCCCCACCCCAGTACTGGGGTTACAGGTACATGTGCATGCACTATCATGCCCAATTAAAATGCTCTGTATGTATTACATAATGATTACACAATGAAACCTTTAAAACACTTATTTCCAGTTGGGGGGGGGGGCGTGGCACAGAACTGTAATCCTAGCACTTGGGAAGCTGAGACAGGTGGGTCTCATGAGTTTGAGGCCAGCCTGGACCACAAACTGAGTTTAAGGCCAGGCTGAACTACGGTCATAAAACAGAACAAAACAAACTTACTTCCAAATAAACTATATTCACAAAACAGTAGAAAAGGCTATCAGGAAGATTAATAAATTATAACCCTATTATTAAATAGAAATCATAAAGAAAAGCATGAGATGGCATCAGTCCTGCCAAGTACAAGAAAACAAGAGTGGCCAGAAGCCAGACACATCACATAATCAGTATTTCTGGAAAGACAGGAGAAAGCACTGGACAGAGAACAAAGCAGGTGCAAGGGCCCAGGGTAAGAGGTCCCTGTCTGGAGTCACAGGCAGCTCCACCTTAGCGCTCCCAGTCTCACTCCTCCACTCAATGGGAAGGCGCTCCCAGAGATGATTCACACTAACCTCTCACCCTGGTGAGAGCGCTGACATGTACTTTCTTGGCCCCTTTCTTGTATGTATGGTCTTTTGATTCTTTGAATTCTACAAAATTCATGACCAAGGATGATATATTTTACAGAGATACAATATAAAGTTCCCATGCTCTGAAAACAATAGTTGAATAGACAAAAAGGCTTTCTTACAGATCACTATGAATGGAATTGGGCCGATATTTATATTACCATGTCAGCTCTAAAAAGATTTCTTAATTTAGGGTTGAAAAGTCTCCATCAGTCGTAATTAACTTTTATTTTCTAATTTTCTGTGGTTTAATTTTTTATTTACTCACCATGATCTGTAAGCTAGGAAACATAGTCTTGAGAGAATTTTATAAATTAATTGGTAAAGAAAATCCTTACACATAAAAAATGTAACTAACAAGGAGCACAAATTATAAAACAAAATGTTTGTGACTGACGCATGTCACCCATGCCATACAGGTAGAAGGCAGCCAAAGGCACCATCTGCTCTGCTTCCAAACTGCTTTGCATGACTAGCAGCCCTTGGGTGTCTTCCAGGCCTAGGAGCAAAGGCTGAAAAATGGAACTAAAATTCACTCTCCTTTCCTGAGAGTTGTCTGTCTTCAGCAAACTCATAGCTGCTTTCCACTAGGGAGAGTAATTTGTGACAACCACCAGTAAAGAACAGAAATGAAAAAAAAAAAAAGAACAGAAATGACCCTGGGCATTTACAAGTGACAATGGAAAATTTTGACACAATAACTTTAAACCTATTAGATATATTGTCAGGCTGGGGATTTAGCTCAGTGGCATAAGCACCTGACTTGTAAGCAGGCGGTCGTGAGTTCAATCCCCAGTACCGACAATAAAAAAATAAATAAATAGATATACTGTCAACTTTGCCATCCATTTTCAAGAACACAGTATTTCAAATTTTGTAAAACATGAAATACCACAGACATCCACAAGATATATTTTCACAAGCGAAATGTACCAAAATTAACAATATAAATTCAGTGGTCTAAGAAAAAAATACACAGGGCTGGGGATTTAGCTCAGCAGCATAAGCGCCTGCCTTGCAAGCACATGGTCGTGAGTTCAATCCCCAGTACTGACAAAGAAAAACATACACAAACCTCATACTCTATGATCTGAAAGAAACCGAAGAGGGGCAAGGATGGGAGGAGTGGGTACTGCAGTATCAGCAATAAACTGATATATTATGAGACTTCTCAAAAAAAGTATTTCTCAGGTATTTGTTTATTTCATAATTGACAAATGTCAAGTGCCTAATTAATAACAGGTTTATTTCATAATTGACAAATGTCAAGTGCCTAATTAATAACAGGTATCACAGTAGCCACCAGAAATAAAACAGCAAACACAGTTCCTGTATTGTCTATCTCCTCAACTAGACTATAACGGACAGTCACAATATCTTGAAGTGTTACCAACATGTCAAGGGCACCTTGTGAAAAAGAAAGAAGGATGTAATATAAAGCCTAACTCTGTAATTTTAAGTACAGTGGTTACTAGTTAGAGTAAAACTGACCATAAAACTCAAAACAGTAAGAGAGAACATGATAAAGCTAACTTTGGCCAAAATAACTAGCATTACAAGGTTTTCTTTATGTTGATTCTTCAACTCTCTAATCAGAATGTAGGAAAAGTGGTTCCTAGGGGCAGCTTGCTTAGAAAACAGGCAAACAGAGGAAAGGTGTCTTTGAACAAAAACCAAAACCGATGCCCACTGTGCCCGCTCTTCCACGGTGGCCCACCTCGGGCTAGACGTACTTTCTCCTACTTTTTCTTGCCTCACATTCACTTGGTAGAGCCTGCTTTAGTTCTTAAGTCAGATAGGCGTTAAATAATTACAGCTTATGTTTAACTTACCAAGAAACTGATTACACACTTCTTTTTACATACTCTCAATATGTATCGCAGATTGATCTTGAATTTGCCCAGGCTGGCCTCAAACTCATGGCTATCTTCCTGCCTCAGCCTGCCAAGTGCTAGGATTACAGGTATATATCACCATGCTTGGCAAGAAACACTCTTCTATGGTTTGTTGTTAGGTGGCGGTAAGGTGAAACATTTTAGAATACCTTTCTGTTACAAGTTAAATGCACTAATACAAAAACAAACAAACATCCAAAGGCAAGAAGGCCTAAATGCATCTAAAGAAACAGAACCATGGAAGGGTATGCAGGCCTCCTACTTGTCAGGGCACATCTCCACTCTGACACTGCCCTTTGGTTTATGAAGCATATACTCACCAGCTGGCCCGCCAGCAGTGGCATATACTCAATGATAGCCAGCCGCACCCGCCACTTGGCATCCTCAGCCAGTTCCACTATGGCAGGAAGGAGAGACTGAGAGAGTTGACGGATTCCAATGACTTCATTAACACAATCCAAATTGGAGATGATATTCAAACGAACCTCAGGACACTGTAAGTACACATTATACCTTCTGTGCAAAATTTTTCTGTCATAATACAGTACAAACTGCTAAGTAAATTTTCAAATCAGAAAGTTAAAACTCTGGTTAAAAACAGAGAGGGGGATGCCCTGAGGCTATAGTTAAATGAACAAGTACTCACCTAACAGTCTAAAACCATGGGTTTAATCCTATTCACCACAAAAAGTACAGCCTTAAAGTATACTGAATATTGAGTATACCAATAAGTCACGACACATAAATATAACTGATCCTAAGTCTATGAGATGGTAAAAAGCACAGGCTCAGGAACTGAATTACATGTACTCAAATCTATCTGCCACTGCTAAGGCTTCAGACAAGTTATTTTATCTCTGTGTCTCAACTTCTTCATCTGAAAAATGGAAATAGTAAATCTTATGCAGATTATAACAATAATGCAAAGTATTCAGCATCACAGTCATACTTGATACATATTAATCAATAAATGTCAGGTACCATTACAATTCTTATATTAAACTTAAATAAAAGATGCTTTTAAGCAAAGATCAGTTTTAAAAGAACCAGTGAACATAAAGCAAAATCATGCAAAATCTCATGCAGAGAAGATAGACAGATTTTTTTTTTTAATGGCAGCACAGTTTTATTAAAGACAGGAAAAGAAACAGGCTCTTCAGAGCAAGTTTCAGCCAAGAAAAAGGCGATAAAGAAGTACCTCTCACAGCATGAGGGCAGGCCGCTATTCAAGAGCTATTGCAGCGGCCTGGGTGGATATTTTGAGGTTTGCTTTAATGCGTTTCCACATCCATTTTCTGAGGAAATTATAACCTCAAATCCAAACATAAAGACTGTCATGTTTATGACTTTTTCAAATTTATGATTTTTAAAAAAATTAATTCCCATATTTTGGGTCCTATTTTAATAAAACTCAAATCCAAAATCTTATCAAATTGATGACCATCAAAAACAACAGAAATTATACTCACCTCATCCTTTAACTGAGCTAAAAAAAGAGGAAGAAGATGTTCAATAGTATTCTCCTTGCCCAAAATGGTAGATAATCCCATAATTACAGAAGCTAAAGCTGTTTTGACATGTTGGTTGGTATCAGACACTAATTCCTAAAATAAAATCAAAATTATAACTTTAGGGTTATGAGTTTGATCCCCAGTAAAAAAAAATTATAAATTTCATTTTTGCAATGTAACAGAAATCTCCACACCACTTCCCAAGGATCGTAAACGTAACACTGTTTCAACATAAACTAGCTGGTAGTGTTTCTTCAGACCATGTTAGATAACAGATCAAAGCGTAAAACAGCATTTTATAATTATAATAGGTATAGATAAGTGATTAATAATAATGTGATAATTTGACAACTGTTCCATTTATCTCTTATTCATCTTTAAACTACAAGGGTTTTAAGGTTTAAAAAAAAACACTAGGGTAATGTTTACCTTTAGGTAGGGTAGAGTTAAACAAAATAAACTGAAGTTACATTTACCTTTATATATGGCAAAATCTGATTCATAATTATAGTCTCTCTATCTTCAGAAGGCAAGTTCTCACAAAGTTCTAAAAGAAGACAAATAGGAAATAAAATACTTTTATAGAATCATTTACAAGAAACAAAACAAGAACTATAACCAAGTGTTAAAAACGGTTACAAGTTAAATCACATCATATATTTACACAAATGAGCTATGAGGGGGAAAATGACAGTCTAAATCAACCTATCAATCTAACCTGTAAATGCATTTATAACAGAAATGTGATAAAATGGCTTAGTTTGAAATGCAAAGATTTATATGACAACGTGGTATTTTCACACAAGGAAATTATCTCTATTTGAGACATTTTCTGTAAAACAAAATGTACAAAATTTACTGCTATAAAATAAAAAAACACCAAAATGAATGACATTACAACGCAAATTGAACAGTCTAACCTTTTACTTTGTGAGCAGCAGCTGCTCGGACTTCAGCTTCACAATCTTTAAGTAGGTTCTGGAATGCAGGGATGAGGTCATTTAGGGTGATTTTAGGACCCACCGCTTTCTGGAGCTTTAAAGAAATTTGTACAAGTTTTAATATATCTAACAAAATAATTAGTAAGAAAAAAACTAATCTTCAAATATTTATTTTTGCCATCACACTGTCCTTTCAACAGAATTACTGTAGAAATTTTTGGTGTAACAGTTAATCTGATGGGTTTCTGCTTTGATTTTCTAACACTTAAAAGTATCACTGCAATGATTTTACCTCTGAAAATTTGTCCGCTACCATATAGCGAACGCGCCAAGATTTATCTTCAGCTGCTTGTCGAAGGGTTGGCATTACCAAGACCTCAACATCATCCTGAGACAACAACTGGGCAATACTGACACAAGCTTCCACAGCTAGGAGGCGCACCGAGTCCTAAAGAGACAAATTTCTATTACAGCATTGTGTAGTGAGAGCCAAGGCAGACCTGTGTAGGATTGAAGTAGTGCTGTTGTGCATATTATTTAAAACAAAATAAAAAAACCAGCTACCCTACATGGGATTTCATGGCTTGACACAGCTGAATAGCTACCCCCAATGCATGGAACAGCATGTGAAAGCCATAAAGATAGCAATGACTTTGTTCTAAAGTAAAAGGAAAATTATCTTGGCTGCAGTGCAGAGCTTTTATTTTAAAACAATAAGAAAATGTAAAGATAAATAAAAAAACATTTAAAAAATACTTTCAGAGACGTTATAGTAAGTCAAAGGATAAAAATGAAAATTACACTTATAGAAATTATTTATCACATTAGAACAGAGAAAGGGGTCAGAGAAAATCAGGCAGAAATTCACAACAAGGGGGTTTAGCTCAGCAGCATAAGTGCCTGCTTGGCAAATGCAAAGTCGTGAGTTCAATTCCCGGCACCAAAAAAAAAAAAAAAATTACAACAAATGTAAAGTAATAAAAAAATGGATTTAAATGTTGAAGACTGCTAGGTGTGGAGGTGCACATCTGTAATCTCAATATTTGGAGGCTGAGGCAGGAGGCTCACCACGACCTCAAGGCCTGTCTGAGCTATATAGTACATTCAAAACCAGCCTGCACTACAAAACTTAAATAAATGTTGACGATCAAAAACAGACTGAATTTGAAGTCAGCATGACAAAAAAAAACAGCAGAAAAAATTAGAAAGACATGAAACTAATGAATTCAGAATTCCAGACATAAAATAACAAGTGCCAAAGTGACACCTATAAGTCCTCTGAGTTAGTGGAAATACACAATTGGAAACTGAGATGACCTGGGAATTACACATATATAAGCAGGAAGAGAAAAACACATGAACATAAAAGAACTCAGAAAAAACAGGACATAAAACGTAGATACAATTACCTTCCAGTATACAGATATAATCAGAGATGAGACTTCAACTTTCTAAACAGCACAAATTTTAATGATGTAAATCCACAATAACTCACACTTCTAATTCAAAGGAACAGGTGAAAAAGGCAGAACTAGGTTCTTGGTACTGGCTACACAGATATTTCTCAATTTTGAAAATAAAGCTAAATCAAGAAACTACTGTCATCTACTGAAATGTATGCCCACACTCAGCACTTCCCTTCCAGAACTCATTTTCTCCTCTACTCCTGTCCCTTCTCCCAGAATCCTCTCCATCTCAGCAATGACACCAGTCAACTGCTCAACCCAAACATCGAGATCTTGATCCCTCTTTTCTTCATCCAATACACCAGTATAAACTTTCTCAACTCCACTTACAAACCTTACAAGCAGATCCTTCCCACTGTAAGGCTCCTACCTGGCTTTTTTTTTTTTTTTTTTGGTAGTGGGGATCAAACTCACAACTGCGCGCTTGCAAGACAGGCACTTATATGCCGCTGAGCTAAATCCTAGCCTCCTACCTGGCTTTTTAAATTCTCATCCCTCCTCCAATTTAGTTTCCACCCAGAAGCCAGAATAATCTTTTGACAACATTAATTATATCATGTCATATCTCCACTCAGGTAGGTGTAGTCTACTGCACCTAAAAAGATACCCCAACTATATGCTGACTTAAAGAACTGGTTTTGTTACTTTCTTCTCCAACTCATCTCTTACCATTATCTCTCTCTAGAATACTATGTTCCAATCACAAGATCTTTATACTACATACCTGTCTTTTAAGAATTCTGTGCCTAACTACACAACAGGCGTTCAACATTCAATGAATGAGCCAAAAGCAGTTATTCTATTGGTGGTCAGATGGAACATAAATATTTGTAAAAAGGCATCTCATATATTTTGAGCACCAAACGCTGCTAAAGGTAGCATGCATACTCCCAACTAAGAAGTTGTCTTTTTACCCCCAAATACCAAACTTAACTTGCACTAAGACCATAGGGCAAGGGCTGGGGATGCAGTTCAGTTCAATTCCCGGGACCAAAAAAAAAAAAAAAAAAGAAGTAGGTGAAGGGTAGAGAAAACAGTAGTCAAATCCAGACACGGTTTTCATAAATAAGCCTTTTACTGGAACACTGCCACGGTTCGTTAGTTTACATATTCTCTGTGGCTGTTTTGCATACCAGCAGTAAATAGTTACAGTGGAGACAACCTGACCCACAACACCTAAAATATTATGATCTAGACCATCACAAAAGAAGTTTGCAAGAGAAGTGTGGTGGTGCACACCTATAATTCTGCACTCGGCAGGCTGAGGCAGGACTGCCATGAGTTCAAGGCCTGCTTCGGCTACATAGTGAGTTCAGCCTAACTACAAGCAAGATCTTGTCTCAAAAACCCAAAGAAAGAAAAAAGAGAAAAGAACTCTAGATTCTCAGAGTTAAAATTGTTATTATATGCAATAATTTCATTCATTAGTGTAGAGATCAAATGGCTTTCTTAACACATTCTATGCTTCAATATTTATCTGAAAGTCAAAATTCCAGGAAACATTACTCTATCATGTTACAATACAGCCTGTAACTCCCAAAGATATGTTATGCAGCTTTGGTCTTCCTAATTATGGCTCCTGTTTCCTCTCTGACTTTTTGAGCATAATGACACGAGTTGTATCAAACCAGAATGAAGTATTAATTTCGCAAAACAGATCCTAATAGAAGTAAAACGCTCAAAAAAATGTTTAAAATGAGCTGGCTATGGTGCCATATAATCCATCCACTCAGGAGATCAAGCCAAAAGGATCACAAGTTCAAACCCAACCTAGGGAATTTAGCAAATCCCTGTCTCAGAATTTCTAAAAAAGAAATAAAGATATCCTCACTGTGCAAGGCTGTGACTTATTCGATGGCCAGTATCATTAAAAAATATGTATTTAAAATGTTAGAGGTAAGGAACATACTTGTGCCATTTAAATACAAGAATTATTTACCTGTTCATCTGAAGCTAGAGTAGTGAACAAAGGAACTATTTCAGTTTTCACACTATCTAATTCCAAAACTTTTGCAAATTCACCCAATTTGGAAGCAGCTGCACGTCGTACCATTGGTGTATCATCTGAGCACAAGGAACGGAAGTGCCTGCAACATAAAATAACAATGTGTGTTTCGTTAAATACTACTACTCTAACACATACAGACTGAAACTTTAGAGGTTTTCTCTTACAGACATCAGTGATTAGGTTTGTAACAAAAGTAAAACACATACATTTAAAGTATAATGAAAATGTTATCATTAATTCCACTATCCTAGTATCAGTGACTCACTAGTAACCCGGTATTGTACAGTGTAAATTGTCACCTAAGTCCCCAATAACCCCAAATTCTACAATATAGTAAACATATCTTACTGTCTGATTTCTGCCTTGACATCATTTGAAGCCCTGGGATAGCAAACGCTAAACAAACCACATGCAGATGTGCGAGAGGTAAACCAATCCCCACTCGCCAGGCGTTTCACCAGAGGCACAAAATGAGCTTCCAGAGCAAGAGCAGTATGCTCCTGGGAGATCTGCCGCAGGGACTCCACAGCCTTGTCCCGAACTACGGTCTCTTCCACAGTTGCCAGACTTTCCAAAGGAGGCTGAAGAGATCAAAAAGAAAATCAAGGAAAAGTTACTGAATCAGGTTGGCTAGATTGTCACCTTTCATGTGACTGAAGGGAAGCAGTACACATAGCCAGGATGTTAGCTACACCATACCACATGGTTACTTTCAGTTCACACGGTGCTAACATATGGTGTGGCCAACCTAAAGACACGACTTTTGTAAAAAAGCCAAGATTCATGTCCCAGATGGCAATTTCCAGATGGTGTCTACAAATGACACAGTGAAGAGATTTGACACAATATTACTATTACCAGGAACTAAATCACTGAGTTTAAATGTGTAGCTGAACTGAGACAGGAGTGTATTTCCTCAAGAGTAAGTAAAATAATACAATCAAAACTGCCCACCAAATTACACGTGACATTATTCTGCCAGGTCACTGGGTTCGCAGCCTCTTAAGCACTAGCACAATCAACTGCCTCCTTTTTGCGCATCATCAGTGTATCTAACCTATAAAAGGCTGAGTACAAAACTACTTTTTGTCAAAATGCGTTCAGAATCTTTCCCTTAACCAACAGCAAGTTTCTGACAGAACATTAAGTGAAGAGTACAAAGACAGTAGGAGACATACAAAGACAGTAGGAGACATTACTTCCAGCTTTAGAAACAGAAGATGGATTGACGGTCTGGACTAGAATTAACAACTGAATATGATACAGCCCAGTATAAAGTGAGACATGACGATTCTCCTGTATCTCTGCCCCTCAGGTTTGCATTGGGTCCAGGCAGACTCGGCATTATGCCATGAGCTGCACACACATAAAACTCCATAGGAGAACTGACCAACAGAATAAAACACAAGGATGATGATTTACAGAAATATATTTCAGAAACTCTTACCACAAATAGGTAATACTTAGCTTTCAAGAGGGTATTTCAGCACCCTGCTGAAAAGGTACTGCTTTTGACATGTCAAGATTTTTCGACTGTCCTCTGCCTGGTCATGCAATGCCACTAAATAAATAACTTGTCTCACTGCTACAGATTAAACTCTGGAGAATTACTTGTGAGCTGTCTCGATTTGAACTCTGCCCACGTCTCTGTCCTGATTACCACTCCTGCCTACCTCAGACCTAACACTTTGCACTTCAGCACTTTTGAGCCCACAAGTTTCATAGTTCTAAGCCTACGAGACTCACTCTTTTAACAAATGATTATTATTGTTCTCTTAACACTGAGATTCCTTGCCCTATGGGAAGTTTACATGCTAGAGAAGGAAGAAAAAATCAAACAAAAACACAACAAAAAGAGAAGTAGGTGGTGACCAGCAGTTGGTAGAGAGACAGAACAAGATGAGGTGACAAGGAGTGACTGTGATGCTATTTCACGTAGAGTGGTCAGAGAAGGCCTCAGGAGATGAGCTAAAGTGACTGTGACAGAAAGTCCAAGACCAAAAGCTTCAAAGTAGCATTTCATGAGAAATAATACCTACGGCAAAATGTCGTAAGGCAATAATGAGTTTGGCTTACTCAAAGAACAGAAGATTGTGAATGGAAGAAAGTTCTCAAGGCAGAGTGTAATGTGTGATAACTCATAGAGGCAAGTCTTATAACAACATAGAGTCTGGATTTTCAAGGAGCCATGGCAGAGAGTGATCCCTCTGTTGAGTAAACAATGAACAGAAAGAGTGGGAAGAAGCAGAAATAGGCAACTACAGACACTGCTGAATTTCCAGTGGAATTACAGTACATTCCAATAAGGCCATCATAAGTCAAAAATGCACTGAGTGCACATAACCTATAAACATCAGATTAGCCATATGGTGCACAGGCAGTATCAGCTGTCTACCCTTGTGATCATGTTGCTCAGAGATATAGCTAGCTGTCAACGCTGGGCAAAATATGAGAGCACTGTACGGCGTTTGCTAGCCTGGGAAAAGATTAAAATTGCAAACATAAAATACAGTTTATACTGAACAGGTATCATTTTTCAGTATCATAAAGTCAACAAATCCTAAACTGAATACTCTAATGTAATCCCAGCACACCGAAGGCTGAGGCAGGAAGATGACTTCGAATTCATCATGGGCTACATACAAACACAAGTGAGCGCCTCAAAAAAAAAAAAAAACCACTAAACTAAATTGAACACTTACAGTCAGGAAGCTACAACAGGAACCTAGCAAAAAAATTACAAAAAGGTTGTGGGGTTTAGTCTAGTGCAATAGTAGTAAGGATGCAGTGAAGAGATCTGGAATAGATGTGACGCTCTAGAAGTTACTAATGAATTAGATGTGGGGAAGGAGTGTAGAAGAGTTCAAAAATATCTTCTAAGACCAGGGATGCAGCCCACCAGTATTGTACTTATCTAGCATGTGGGAGACAAATCCCCAGTGGCGGTGGGAGGATATTCTAGGGACCGACTTGGGTAATTAGGAAGAAGGTAACACAACTAAACGGGAGACACATTCTAAGGAGAGTTGTAGGCATGTTAAATATGAAACGCTTGTTTGAAATCCAAGCAGGAAAAATTACAAGCAGATATACTTAAGGGTAAATATACACAGAACCTCCCTAATCTATTTGCTCTGTATAAATCTGCATGTATTTATCCACGCTTCTCTGGAGTTCCATGGAATGGGTGGTAGGGAGAAATGTTGAGAGTCAGCAACACCACTATTAAAAGTCTTGAAGCATACATCCCTACCTTGTCCAGCTGGTGAATTCTTAGGCACCATTTAAAATCTAGTTCAGGTATCATCTTCCCTGATTACTCTATTTAATCCCTTTCTGCTCTCCATTATTTGGGTGATTTGCATGTGTTTATATATTTCCAATACAGACTGTACAATTAATTATTCATTACATAGAAAGACAAGAGACAACAATCCATCCACACTGGTCTTCTTAAACATTAATACAGTAACTTACAATGTGTCTGATAGTCAGCTGACCATGCCATTAAATCGAATTCATTAAATTCACAAAGATTAGTCAAATGTAAAGGACAAACACAAAATATTACTATATGAGAATTAAGATTTCCAATTTCAAAGCTAGGTGTAAGAAGGTATGCCTGTAATCTTAGCACTCTGAAGACTGAGGCATGAGGACTGCCATAAGTTCAAGGCCACCCTGGGGTACATACTGAGTTTAAGGATAGCCTGAATTACAGAGGGAGACTCCATCTCAAAAAACCAGGGGCTGAGCTGGACCTGGTGGTGCACGCCTGTAATCCCAGCACTTAGGAGGCTGAGGCAGGAGGACTGAGTTCAAGATCAACCTGAACTACAAAGTGAGCTCAAGACCAGTCCCAACTGCATAGTAAAACCTTGGCTCAAAGAGGAAAAAAAAAAAAAAAAAAAAAAAAAAAAAATAGGCAGGGATTATAGCTCAGTGGCACAGCACCTATCTGGCAAGTGCAAGGCTGTGAGTTTGATTCTCACTACAAAAAAAAAAAAACACTTCCAACTTCAGGGGAAAAACCTATCATATCCTTTACTCCTATCTCTGAACTAGTACTTTTACTGTGCCAAAAAAAAAAAAGTTCTTATAAAGGAAAACCCATCAAAATCATGGCAGACTTCTCGACACAGACCATCCAATCAAGAAGAGCTGGAGTGAAGTATTCCAAGTCTTGAAAGAAAATAACCGCCAGCCCAGACTGATGTACTCTGAAAAATTGTCTCTAGAAATTAATGGAGAAACAAGATATTCCCGTGACAAAGAGGAACTGGGGGGACTGGTGACCACTAATCCAACCCTACAGAGACTACTGAAGGATATTCTAAAGAAAAAAAATACCAGGATTTCAGGAACAGTGGCAGAGAGGCCTCCACGAACAGGGCAGACAGTGGAATGAACGAGAAAAGTAGTCAACCAATGGCAAAAAAATAGCATAGCAGAGATGAGGCAGCGAAGGCTGGCTATAATCTCTACAGAGATGCCTTGATACACTAATAAAAAGAAACACAGGCAAAGTAATCAGGAGGTAGGGTCCACCAAGATGCTCTATATTAGAAATATAACTAACCTGAAAAAGGGTTTGTGGACCGAAAATCAAATATTGAGAAAACAATGCTCTATGTGACAGGCAACCAGAGAGAAATAGGGGCAACTCGACCAGCACCTGCAGACAGGTTGGAAAGACAGGATACTTATGTGCAACGGAGAACTACTCAGCTACAACAAAGGAAAACCTTGAGGTTTTTGTAGATAAAGGAATACAACTTGAGATCAAGTCCAGGAGTGAGAAGGTTCAGAACCACTTAGGTAAATAGCAGGTTGCCTCCCCCAATCTAAAAACTGAGAGAGTTGGTAGGACCCAAAATGTGCAGCACCCTGTGGGAGTGAAATGGAAGGAACAGTCTTAAAAAAGAAGGCAGAGGATATTGTTAATAGTGTATCAGGATTTAAAACCCACATTGCTCACATCGCTGCGTTTAGATGGATTATATTCTGTTCCAGTTTATCTACTTGTACTAGATTTAAAGGCACAGATAGCTATACCGAAAATAGCAGGATATAATACAGTAATCATCCTTAATTTCCTGTTAACTTAATCTGAAACCCTGTATAACTCAACACTGTTTTTACCATGACTAGTCTTAGTTGAATCTGGTTTGTTAGATTGCTATTTTGTCCTTGACAGATTTTACTCAAATCTGTTATGATTGACAGCATCAAGTCTGAGAGTATAGGCAACTACACTAAAGATGATAAGATTCACTAGGATACCCATATCTGGCTTGATTATTACCTGCTTTTGAAGTTTTACACTGGCTACAATGTTTTGTTTTTATTAATATTGTTATGTACTGTTATATTCAATTATATTAAGTCTGATGATACGGACAATTCTATTGAAGATAACAATAAACAACACAGTAACCATTGTAGATCACCTTGTACTGTGGTTTTATATGACTTTTCATTTCATGGTTTTTTTTTCTTATACTTTTTTTTTTTTTCTTTTTTCTTTTTATCGGTACCGGGGATCGAACTCATGACCGCCTGCTTGTAAGACAGGTGCTTATGCCACTGAGCTAAATCCCCAGCCCCTTGTTTCATGTTTTTATAGGAATTTGTTTTGTCTCGCTATGCTTTGTTTTTCCCTCTAATACAGAAAGGATAGAAATACATGTAGAGACTCATACATGCACAGAACCTATAAACAGTTTAGGAGAACCGATTATATAATGCATGATGAAATGAACAACTGCTTTAAAGAAAAAGAGACACTAAGGTACTCGGGCTGATTCCATAGTGTCACGATGTGAAATCCAGTAATACTATTATTCTTTGCTCAGAGTGATTTTAGCCTGTTTTGTTTTGTATAATTTCAACATACATGAAGGTATAGACAGCTATTTTGAGAATGAGAGACACTATGATAGCCATTGTTGACTTCCCTATTTTCTGGTCTTGAAGACCTAAAACACCTTCCTCATCCTTTCAGATCAGTTGTCTACTATGTTGTTTCGTGTGAATTCTCTGTATGTGAAGAAATGGACAACTATTTGGAAGAAAACAAGAGACAATATGAGATTTTTTTTTTTTTTTGTCTTTTTCCTTTTTATCGGTACCAGGGATCGAACCCACGACTGCCTGCTTGCAAGGCAGGCGCTTATGCCACTCAGCTAAATCCCCAGCCCCAACAAGAGACAATATGATAGATATGTCTACCTATCTATGAAAATATATTTACAATATGAAGGTCTCAGATTGTCGTGCTTTGAAATTTATATCTCTTACATTGCTTTCTTATGTTGTTTTGCTGTTTAATTTTATTCTCTTTAAAATAAAAAAGTTCTTGTATTCAAAATAACAAAAAGTTGAGTTCAAAGTGCTTGCATCACGACTATCTATCTATAAAAAGACCTGCATAAAAAAATGCTACAGTGCATCTCTCACCAAACAATGTGTCATTTATACTATAAAAGTTCTAGAAAAAGGGCAGACAGTAGACAGATAGGTACTCACCAGCAGACAGTGGGCAAAATCAGGACCTCCCACCAGGCCAGTGAAATTTCCCAGCTGCTCAGCAAGAGCTAACAACACCTCATCTTCATCATAAATTGTATCTGGAAATGACAATAACTGGATACACATCAATAAGGACAAGTGACCTTGAGATACACTCACACAGAAGTGGGAATAGACTCAGCAAGTAGGTAGTAAAAGTTGCGTTTCCAATGCTAACCACATTTTCTTCCTTCTGAAGCAGTAGAATTAATTAGAATGTCATACTCCCATATCACTTACTTTCCAGTTTGCATAACTGGTTACTGTTCAAATACATCCAGCAGTAACGTTCTTATATGCTTTTTTCTGATTCTTTTGCATCGCCTCAGTTCAGTATTTAATGATACTCCAAAAACACACACTTACCTGTAAGGAATGGCAGCAGTTCAGTTCGGGTCCTTTCCACTCCAAGCGCCAGAGCAATTGTTGACAACTTTTTAATACTGTTGAGTCGGAGCTTTAAAAAAAAAACAATGGGAAGAACAACAAAGTAAAGAAATGGTAGCGATTCAGACCAAAAAACAAAAGGGGCAAACAAAATAACGAATATGGTAATTAAAAAAAAAAATCCGGCAAGGGTAACACTCATTAGCCAGAGGAGAATTTCCAAGGAAAAACAATGAAGGAAAGCTTAGAACAGAAACGAATGAATGACAATACGCGGGAAGTGAGGTACTTTACACAGAGAATACAGCAGTACTGAAGCAAGTCAAACGGTTGCATACAACTCCTGCCTTTTCAAAGGACAGTTCTACCCCCGCTGACAGCCGACTGCCTTGGTTAATCAGCCATCCCAGCCTTTCCACCCAACAAGCCTAGCCAGTTTCCACGCCGGAGAGAGGACAGGCAGCCGCCCTTCCGAGGGCTCCCGGGCTCCCCGAGACCCGCAGGCCGCCCGGAAGGGCGCAGAGGCGGGAAACCGGTTCTCCGAAACCGCCCCCACAGCCGGGCGCCGCCGCGCCCACGCCTCAGGGCCCGGGGCCCGGGGCGCTACAGAGGCCGGGCGGAGCAGGGGCGGCCCCGCGACCTCGGGCTCCTTCCCGCCTGCCCCTCACACGTCCGCTCCAAGTCAGGCTCTTTCCACCCACTGGCCTCTCCAGCCGGCACAGCCGGCCTTGCCCGTTCCTACCCCGCCCCGCGCTGGGCCGCCTGGGCTCCTCAGCCTCGGTGCCGTACCTGCACGTCCTCATTGCGGAGCTCGTCGATTAAAACCGCAATCGGATATAGTGAATCGTCTCCGTCGCCCCCCGCTGACAACGGGCTGCTCCCGGACCCAGCCGTGCCCGCCATGTTCTTCCTCTTCTGGCGACTGGCCGCGGGCCGCCGCGCTCCCAGGCCCCGCCCCGAGGTCTGGCCCCGCCCTGAGGTCTGGCCCCGCCCCGAGATCTGGCTCCGCCCCAAGGTCTGGCTCCGCCCCGCGCCCTGGCCCCGCCCCAAGACCTGGCCTGTTTGGCTGAGGTCTCGCTGTGGAGGTCGCGGAGCTGCACATCTTCCTTGGTGATGGAGGCTCCTATCAGACCTACATTGCAGGAGGTGTAGATGTGAACTCCAGAAGAAGGGTGGGCTGAGAAAGCGGACAGAACCCTTGCGACCTTTCCCCACCCGGAAGAAATATGGGCAGGGATTCATCCTTCCAGCTGTGGTCTCAAGGAGCCAGGGATCTGTGCGATCCGTGCTGCGATCTCACAGGACTCAGGCAGGTCACAAGGGTGCCCAAGGCCAGGAGGAAAAGGCTGTGGCGCCTCCCCCAGCTTCATCCTGGCGCAGAGCCACTGGGTCTGAGGCCCTAATTCCTACACTGGGCCTCAAGTATGCAGTGGACCCTTCACCTCTCCCTTCGGCCTCTTTGCCAGAATCGTGGCTGGTTCCTGCTCCCAAAGACATAACGCGGGCGGTGAGAGAAAATGAGAACAGTGCTGTCCAAACTCCCCAGTCAATATTTTTTCCACGCAAGCTGTTTAAAACATGCTGCTCCCTTGTTTTTGTGTTTCTTTTCAGTTTGGTACTGGAACGGTGCCTTCTGTTGTATTTTTTTCTTCCCCCTTTTTTTTCTTTTTAGCTCTTTAGCACGCAAGAAGTAAAACAATCAAGCAAAACTAGGAAAACGTTAATCCTTCCAAATTGGGTGGAGTGGCTACTTGTTTCAAGAAAGCCTAAACTGGCCTCTCTACACCTCTCAGAGTCCTTAAAGGCAGCAGGAGGAGGACACACAAGGATCTGGAAGTTCTTTTTACAAAACTTAATGGGAAGTTTTCACTTATCCATGTAGTACAGCACAAAACAATTAGAACGTCCTTTTTTTACATTTGTCATGCACTGGAATTTAACTAATTTAGAATGATAACTGCATATGATGACCACAAGTTCTCAAATGATACTTTTATAGGTCTGATTACTGAAATTGTAAAAATATTCATAAATGCAGCAAACCATGATAGCACCCATGTGTAGTCCCAGCACCTTGGTGGGTTGAGGCAGAAGATTGTAAATTTGAGCCTAGCTTATGCAATTTAGCAAGACTGTCTCCAAAGAGAGAAAGAAAGAGAGAAAAAAGAAAGAAGTAGACTAGGAATGTAACTCAATGCAGAGAATACTAGGTTCAATCCCCAATACTACAAAAAAGAAAAAATAATAGTAAATGCAATTTAGGAGACAAACTTAGAAAGCATAGGGCTCGGAGAACTTAAACAGAGTAGATGAAGCTTTTGATGGTGAAATTTTAAGACCCAATACACCTGAACAGTTTTTTCTCAAATTAGATCCATGGTATATTCTCCAGGGTTTTTAATTGTATAATATTTTTAGATTTGTATAAACATAGTCTGTTATTGGGATAACTATTTTATAAATCAGTCTTGTCACATGATTTCAGCACCTACATTTGAATGTGTTTCATTGTTGCTTCTGTTGATCTAAGATAGAAAAAAAAATAGGTGGATTTAAAAATTTTAAAAATGCTTTAATGCATTTTAAGTGAAAGCCAAATGATCATGTTTCAGTTATACTAAAAGAAGTAAGAAAAATGAGATATCAAAGGCATATTCAAAAGAAACAGACTTTAGCAGGCCATACCATAGTCACAACATAAGAAATGGCCAGGTGTGGTGGCACATGCCTGCAAACCCAGCACTTTGAAGGCTGGAGCACGAGGATTGCCACAAGTTTGAGGCCAACTTGGAGTACATAGTGAGTTCAAGGTCAGCCTGCACTACAAAGGAGATCCTGTCTTGCAAAAGAAAAAGCAAAACCCAACCCACAAACAAAAAACTAATATGAAGGATATTTTAGTTTTAGCAAAATACATCATTTGTCATGTTAAATTACCATATGAATTTGAATACTATTAATCTTGTGGTTTTATTTGCATATAATTTGTAAATCTGTTTGGTTTTTTAGCTGCATAAGAACTATACATAAAAGAAGAGAGGCTTTGATCACCAGCACCACAAAAAGAAGAAACAAAACAAAACAAAAAATCACTGAAGGGCTGGGGATTTAGCTCAGGGGCTCAAGTGCTTGCCTGGTAATTGTGAGTTCATGAGTTCAATCCCCAGTACCCAAAAAAAAAAAAAAAAAAAAAACTAGAATAAGTAAACAAACAAACAAAAAGAACATTATACTCCTACTATTTGTAAAATTAAGTAAAATGAAATAATAATTTGAGAGTTTTGGGGATTCTTTTGCTTTAAAAATGAATCCATATGCTGTTCAAATCTGAGGGGCAGAGAAGAAACAGACTTTAAAATTAGTACTTTACCAGTTAGAAGACCGGAGGGGATTCCTACTAGCATGGAAAGGACAAATCTGTTCCTTAATACTTTAGGTAAGAAGTCTTTAGAAATGATAAAGCAACCACAGAGAGAAGCAGATTAATTCAGTTCCAATTCTGTATATATCATAATCTAGATATTCACTCAGGTCAGAAAAGCTTTTGGTATGTTAAAAGTTGGCACACAGATGCTAAGCTACTTTGTTTAAAAGTTGGATATGATTTGCTTACTCAAGCACAATGAATTGGCGACCTAAGGAATAACTATGATTAAATATGAAATCACAAGCTGAGAAAACAGGCCCAGAAAATTGCCTGCTTTGCGTCATCAGTGCTGGACTTCAATTCCCATCTTGGTCACTGGCTCATAGTGATCTACCTCTCCGCATGCCTCAATTGCACTGTCCACCCCCTCACTCCCAATAAAACATGCTAATCACCTCTGGTTCCTGCTTTAGTTACTGTGATGCTGTGAGAATGAAACAGGTAATAAACATGGAGATGCCAGTAAATCCTTCAATAAAGAAAGTGATTAAAACAGACTGCAATAGAAGACTCTGTTTCAAAAGCTGGGCCAAACTGTAAGGCAGTCTTTTGAGGAGTATGGTTTGGTGAGCATGTGAATCACCCAAGATGTCTGTTAAAAATGCAGATCACTGGGGCCAGAGGTATAAGTCAGTAGCAGAGCATGTGTTTAGTGTGCACAGGTTCTACCTCCAGCACCAACAAATAGAAAATGCAGATTCTTGGCCCCTACCCAGACCTCCTAGATCACAGTCCTTTAAGAATGGAGCAGGAGCCAGGCGTAGTAGCACATTCCTGTAGTCCCAGTGCTCAGGAGGCTGAGGCAGGAGGATCGTTGCAAGTGTGAGAGCAGCCTGCTTTACAAACTGAGCTCAAGGCCAGCTTGAACTACATGGCGAGACGAAAAGACAAAAAAAGAATAAAGCTGGACACATTATAGTCTCTCTGGTGCTTCTAATATGCATGACATTTTAAAGGCATTGGGTCAAAAGGTTCATTTGTAAAAACAGTTTCCATGTCAATAAACAAGCATCTGCTCAGGTAGGATCTGAAGAGCCTTTGAAGTCAAATTCTGTCCAGCAAAAGAAAATGACAGCTTTAGCTTGTTATCAATAAGCAATTCTGTGCCTATCCCTTGTGGGTTTTGCCAGATTAAAAAGATGATCCCTTTTTTGCTGGATTCCTGGGCATTACCCAAACATTTCCAATATAGCGGTGTGGCACTGAGATATTTCCATATCCTCTGTCCTGTCTGGTGGTCCTCCTGGCCTCCTTTCCACTTTCCACACACACCACTAGAAACAAATGGCTGATGAGTCCCGGAGGCAAGGGCTGGAATCAGTCTGAGGATTAAAGGCAGCCCGTAGGAAACAAAGTTCTCATCACAAAGTTCACAGTTCGGGGGCTGGGGATTTAGCTCAGCGGCATAAGCACCTGCCTTGCAAGCAGGTGGTGGTGAGTTCGATCCCTGGTACCGATAAAAAAGAAAAAGACAAAAAAAAAAAAAAAAAATAGTGCACAGTTCTGCCAGGCATGGTGATGTTCCCCAGCACTCGGAAGACTGAGGCAGGAGTTCAAGATCAGCCTGGGCTGAATAGTGAGTTCAAGGCCAGCCTGAAGTGCACAGTGAGAACCTGTCCCCACTCAAAAAAATAAATAAGTCACAGAGTTCTGGCACCTATAAACAGTTCACTCATCCAGTGTGAATCAAGGAAAAGGGTTAGACTTGTCCATTTTCTGTAAGTATCAAAAATATGGGAAAGCACGATTATGGAATCAAAGCCATTAACTCTTTTATTTCTTTATTTCTTTTTTTTTTTTTTTTTTTTTGTCTGTTTCCTTTATATCGGTACTAGGGATCGAACTCAAGACTGCCTGCTTGTAAGGCAGGAGCTTATGCCGCTGAGCTAAATCCCCAGCCCCCAAAGCCATTAACTCTTGTGCTTACGACAGCTCTGTCACACAGAAAAGGATCAATCCTGGAACCCTGTCATCCTCTCTGTTGCTCACAGCTATAGAGATTGACAAAACAGGTCTCGTGCACATGCTGACCTGATCCACAAAATCACCCACTGGGAGAGAAGCTCAAGTGCGGGAGTCCTGTAGTGGTTCTCCCAAACTGTTGTTCCATTTAAAGGACCAGCAAGACCGTGGTAGGTGGCCCAGTCCAGGTAAAGAAAACCTGAGGCACACGGAGGTGTTTTTCAACTGTAATCTTCCATTGGCATCTGCAGGGGATTGGTTGCAGGAATACCTCATCAATACCAAAATCCAAGGATACCCAAATCACTGCTATAAAATGGCATCTTATTTGCATATAACTCATGTATATCCTCCTGTATACTTTTAATCTTCTCTAGATTATTTATAATACTTAATATAATGTCTACACTAGATAGAGTGTTATGCTGTATTATTTAAGGAATGACAAGGAAAAAAGTCTGTACATGCTCAGTATAGGTAATTCTTTTTTTAATTTAAGAGAAAATAAGACCCAGAAAAAGAAAAACAAACAGCAATAGAGACAAACAAATAACAACAACTAACCCAAAACAATAACAGTAGAG